GCTCTGCCCGTGCGTCACCCTCGCCCACGTTCATACCACCTCCCCCTTCTCCCCCCCCCCGGCTTCCTCCCTATCATCACCCGCATGTTCCCCCACTCCTCTGTCCACAACGTCCCTCCTCACCCCCCCTCCTGCCTTCCCCACTCCCACTCTGGCCCCCACACCTCTACGAGCCGTACCTCCCCCTCCAGCCTCCCTTTTCCCCCCCAGCTACTTCCGCATCCAGCGTGGGCTGCACCTCTGCATCCTGCCTGCCAGGCCCTCGATGACCCAACTGCCGCCACCGACACCACGCCGCCTTTCCCACCCCCATCCAATCTCTACACCCCCTGCCCCCTGCTCCCTGCGCAATCCAGCCAGCCTACCCCAGGCCTCCCTCTACCTCTCCCTAACTCCACACCGCCGTTCCACCCCAGCCAGGGTCTACACCCTGCTTTTGCTCCCTGTGCTGTGCCGTCCCCAACCTCCGTCCGCCTTTCCGCGGCACCAGACCGCCTCTCCCTCCCCTAGCCAACCTCTGCACCCCTGTTCCTGCCCCTTGTGCCTTCCAACACCCTACCCCAACCCCCCCCAGTCTCCCCCTTCTCCAACACCCTCCATATTTCCTACCCCCTGGGGCTCGCCCATCCGCAGTTATCACCCTTCATCAATTCCCAATTTCCCTCTGTCCCCTGTTTCCCAGCCCCGCATCCTATTCTGCATTTACCACAGCGACCTCCTTTCGGTGCCCTCTCGGCCCTCCCACGTTCTCACCCCCCGCCTCCCAACCTTCTCATTACCCGCTACCAGGCTCACGCCAACTCGACTACCCACTACCCTTTGCCCCTTCCTCTCTGTTCCCCAACCCTTCCTTCCCCACTTGGCTCCACCTGCCCCACCCCCACCTCCCGTGGAATTCTGCCCTGCCCTCCCCACCTCTGGCCCACCAACCTGTCCCCACACCCTGCTCACCCACCACTACATCACCCCCGCCCCCCCACCATCCACTACAGCCCGCCAACACTTCCCCTCTCAACCGGCCCCCAGCCCGCCCCCCCCTTGGGGCCCCAATCCCCTCCAACTGTCAGGCCCCCTCTACCCTCTCTTCCACCCAACTGCGCACTGCTTTCCCCACCCTTTTTCCATTTCCCCAAGCTAACCCCCCGCACCCCGGCCTCTGCCAGGGAGTTCCTTCCCCCTTTGACGCCCTCTTGAGCCAACTCCAGCAACTCACACCGACCACCCGCCAGGCATGCTGCCTCTGTAACAATGCCCCAGCACCCCGCGAGTGGGGAAAAGGCAGACCCGGGAGCCCCTCGGCAATCTGGGAGGGTCCCGCAGCCGAGCCACCCCCTACTCTCCCACTCCCCCCACTTCAACAGTCAGGAAGAAACACACACACCTGACCAAGCGAAAACACTCACACAATCTGACCCTAGGGGCCAGAAGCGTACCCTTGAAGAGGATGGAACAGAGGAAACGCCAAGCCCCACTGGAGGGAAATACACAAGGAGGAGCCAGCACACTCAAAACCGCGCCCTACCCCCGCGGCCCCATCCCAGCCTACCCCCCCTTCAGGTGACAGCGGGGGCGGCAACCCATGCATGCCAAGTGGAGAGATCCTCCAACTCACTCGCTACCTCCCATTCGCAAACCAGATTACTTGTGAAAACACTTAATCCTACTAGCACCCCCAAGCACATAGAAGCGGGAGAGGGGCAGAGCCAGGGGGAACTTGCAGCTAACACTGCACGGGAAGGGGTAAGTGAATGTGTGTGTGAAGGAGCAGCAGAGGCTGCAGAGGATGGGGCAGCAAAGGCTGCACGGGAAGGGGCAATGGGGGTTGTGGGGAAGGGGCAGCAGAGGTTGCAGAGGAAAGGGCAGCAGAGGCTGCAAGGGAAGGGGCAGCAGCGGCTGCACGGGAAAGGGCGGCAGAGGGCTGCACGGGAAGGGGCGGCAGGGACCGTGACTCTGGCCAGGCAAAGGGCAGAGGCCATGGAGACAGGTTTTGCAGGAGTAGGGGCCACGGAACCTGCTGATGTGTCGGCTGGGGGAACCGCAGCAGAGGAGGCTATAGGGACCGCGCACCAGGCGAGGCCGCACAGACCACAGCAGGTGTGGCTGCAGGGATCACAACGGGTTGAGGCTGCAGGAGGGACCATGGCAGGTGAAGCCGCAGGGAGCGGCAGTAGGGCTGAGGCCGCAGGGAGCGCAGCAGGTGAGGCTGTAGAGGAGCGCAGCAGGTGAGGCCGCAGGGAGCGCAGCAGGCGAGGCTGCAGGGAGCGCAGCAGGCGAGGCTGCAGGGAGCGCAGCAGGCGGGGCTGCAGGGGACCCGCAGCTGGTGAGGCTGCGGCGGACGCAGCAGGTGAGGCTGCGAGGGCTGCATCATGTAAGGTTGGGCAGGACTCTAGCAGGTGAGGCTGCACAGTCTACAGCTGGTGAGGTCGCAGGGGACTGCAACAGGTGAGGCCGCAGGGACTGCAGTAGGTGAGGCTGCAGGGACCACAGCGGATGAGGCTGCAGGCGGGACCAGGGCAGGTGAGGCCGCAGGGAGCGCAGCAGCTGAGGCTGAAATAGCCGCAGCAGGTGAGGCTGCAGAGGCCGCAGCATGTGAGGTTGAGCAGATTCTAGCAGGTGAGGCTGCACAGACTGCAGCACTGTGAGGCCGCAGGGACTGCAGCAGGTGAGGCTGCAGGGACTGCAGCACGTGAGGCTGCAGGGACCGCGGCAGGCAAGGCTGCAGGGATCGCGGCTGGTGAGGCTGAGCAGATTACGGTAGGCGAGGTTTTACAGACTGCAGCAGACGAGGCTGCAAGGACTGCAAGCAGGAGCGACAGAGGCCACAGTGGGGGCCGGTACAGGGGGAGGTGCTACGGGTGCAGCGGGGAAGGGGGTAACGGGGACTGGTGCGAGGGAGAGTGCCGCCCCGGCTGTAGCAGAGAGGGTACGGCAGGGGCTAGAGTGGGAGAAGGGACAGCAGTGGCCTCAAAGGCAGAAGGTGAGGCTGCAGCTGAAGCAGCAGGAGGGCCATAGCACGGCCAGTAGGGGCGGCAGGGGCCGCAGAAAACGCGAGGAAACACACAGCAGGGCCGGCAGAGACTGCAAAAGGGGCTAGCAGTAAAGCAGCAGCAGGCGGGGTGGGCTCGGGGGACATAGGGGCAACAGGGGAAGGAGAGGTGAGTGTGGTCCCGACCGGGGTGGGCACTGAAGAGGGGGATGTGATAGCGATAGAGGAGGATGAGGGAGAGGATGTGATGCACATTGACGGGCCACTGGCCCAATACCTCACGCTTGACGGTGAGGCCGACCCGGCCCCCCTGCAGCCTCACGTCGAGGTTCCCCCTCTACCCCCCATGCCCATCCCCATGCTAGCAGAAGGACCGATGGAGGGGCTGGGGGAGACCTTGAGGACAGAGCCGCGCGAGGGAGCCCCCATCCTCACCTCCCGTCCTCCAGCCCACCCACCCCCAGGAGCACCACTTCCCCACCCCCACCCTCAGGTCCCGATAGTATCCAGGGGGGCAGCCAAGGCCCTGGCCTTCTTGGCGGAGCCGTGCTCCCCGACCCCCACGTTGCTCCATGGCCAGCCCCCCTCTCCGTCCCCAACGCCTGACCCCACGGTTGCAGGCGGTCCACCGGGAGAGCACGCGGGTGCGACAAGAGCAGAGTCACCTGAGGGCACCCCTTCTCTCACCTCTCACCCCTCCCCGCCCCTTCCCTCACTCCTTCCCTCACCCCCAAGGGCAGCACACCTCTGCCCCCACCCTCAGGGGCTCCTTAGAGCACCACGTGGAGCAGCCAGGGCTCTGGCCTTCCTAGAGGAGCCATGCTCCCCGACTCCTACCAACACCCAGCCACCCCCTACCGGCCCACTACCCCCCCCCTCCACCAGCCCCCCCCCCACCCGGTAGTACACACATCTTGGAGGTTGAAGCATCTCTGCGGCCAAATCCCTCTCCCACACGCTACAGGCACCCAAACCACCCGAGTCGCCGCACAGCCCCAACACGCCCACCCAACAGGCTGCCCCCCTCACACCACCCCCCCCCCAGGCAGCCGAGACCCACCCGCAAGGGCTTGCGCCCCAGGCTCATGGGAGCGGCGGCACCCGGGTAGAGGGGCCCACAGGAGAGGCCACCACAGAGCCCACACAAATCTCTCTCCCCCCACCGCTTGTACCTCGCTCTAACCTCCACACTGGCCCAGCCCCTCGACCCCCACCTCCAACCCCCTCTCCCGGCCGGGTTCCCCACGAGTGGCCCCGTTGGGCAGCCATCACCCCCCACACACAGCCTGCCCGATCTGTTCCCACGGAGGGGGATGTTTCGAGGAGAGAGGGGATGCACACAGAGCACCCCCCGCCCGGCGAACCACCCATCCTCCCTCCACCCACCCCTTTGGCCCCACAGCCCCCCCTTCCTTCACAAACAGGCGCGGACAACCAGGTTGGCCGCCGGCGGAAGAACAGGGGCAGAGGAGGCAGAGGGTCAGCCCACGTACTCCCCCCCTCCCTCCCTCCCCCACCAAGAGCCCCTCCCCACCCCACATCCCGTTGAACCCTTACCAGGCCCTACCTCTACAGCCCGACCACCAAACCTAACACTCCCGCCCCGCTCTTGCACCTCCACAGGGCCATGGGAGCGGACCAGCCCACTCACCCCCATTCTGCCCCTCCCGTGCTGTGTCCCCCTCCCAGGTGGCGGCGGCCGCGATCGCTACTGGGATGGAGGCCGTCGGGTTGAGGGATGCGCCCATGGAAGACGCCACCGACTCCCCCTCCCATCCCTCCCACCCCTTCCATGTCGACGACCCCCTACCGCAACCCATGGTGATTGGGGAGGGCCAAGGGGGCCTTCTAGGGCAGGGTCCACACCCGAGCTCCGCTCAGCCAGCACGCCCCACTCCAACCTCTACCCTGCCAGCCCTCCTACTCTCACCTACAGGCAGGCAGGTCTTCGAGACCCCAGAGGAGGTGAGGGCCGGCATTTCAGATTTGCTGGCGATACACCGCCCGAGCAGCTCTCCGGCTGCCCCCACCCTTCCAGTCCCACAGGACCGGACCCGGACGTATGCGGAAGTCACCCGGTCTGTCCCTTCTTTTATCCCCCCCGCCACTCAGCCAGGCGCGTCACTCCCGACCCCAATGGAGACGGACCGGGTTCTGAGGCCGTGTCACGCGCACCTAGATGGGGTGGCGCCTCCCCCCGTTCACCCCGTGGCGCAGGAGGTCACCAGCAGTAGGGATGAGGCATCCGCCCCTACCGAGACCCCTCCGCCTGGGGTAGCAGAGCCGTCACTTGAACCGCACCCCGCCGAGGGGCAGGAGCACACCACGGCACACACTTCAAGCTCACCTCCACGTCCCCCCTCCCCAGCTTCGACACCGGTACCGGCACGAGGCCCGGCCCTATCCTGTGCGACACCACCTCTATCTTCGCTGACACCCCCCATGCACGGGGCTGGTGAGTCGTCTCCTCCCCTCATCCCAGGTGATCCTCTCGGAGCTCAGGCCGCCCACGGGGTCCCCTCTACAGCCAGTTCCGACGCCACGGCCCCGATTGACCCCGCCGACACGGCGACATCACCCGACCAGGCCGTGAGTTGCCCCACCTGCAGGAGCTCTCTCGCGAACCGACGCGCGCTCCAGCACCACATTCCCTTCTGCCATCCTGCGGGCGCGGCTCGCAGGGCACAGGCTGCCCATGATACCGCCTCGATCATCCCTTCCCTCTCACAGCCCCGTGCGACCGGGATACAGTTCACCGACGCACAGTGGCAGACGCTCGACTCGGTGGACTGGACAGAGTACTTCTCGCCCGAGCGTATCCATGCACGACCTCTCCGACGTGTCCCAGAGAGGGTCCGCGGAGGATATCTCGACGTCCTCAGTGCGATCCTAGTCCGCATTGCCCAGGACCCGGAGGCTGCTGGCCCTACCTTCCTCCTCGCTGCAGCGCCGACTCTTTTCCTTGTTCCAGCGACGCCACCCGACCGCTCGCACACGGCTGCCATTGCAACGCGCATCTCCCGCTTTGGTCGAGGTGAGTGGGCTGAGCTAGTCTCAGATGCACTAGGCCGTCGCACACCCCTTCCTCGGCGCACAGGTCACCGGTCACGCACCGCCACCGATCCCTCTACAGCAGATGAGCGCCGCATTGCACGTTGCCTTCGTCTGGCAGCGTGCAATGAGACCTCACGGGCGTGCGCGGCTCTCGAGTCCGCGGAGGCAGCCCCAGATACACAGGGGACGATACAGCGCCTGCAGTCGAAGCACCCCAACGCGGAGAGGCCGACCCCAGCTTGGCAGTCTGGCTTCCAGGGGTCCCCTCTCGTGCTCTCGGTGGATCACTTACGCCGCGCGATTTTCACAGCTCCGCGGGGCTCTTCGGGAGGACCGTCCGGTTGGGTCGCTGAGCACCTGCGAGACACTTTCCTAGCTTTCCCTCAGAGTCTCCATTTCCTCCTGGCCGTGTACCAGCAGTGGCTCCGAGGCCGTTGCGCTCCAGCTGCGCGCTCCTTGCTAGCATCTTCCACCCTCGTGGCTCTGGCGAAGTCGAACATGGATGTTTGGCCGATTGCCATCGGCGAGGTTTTGGTCCGCATTCTTTCTCGTGCAGTCTGTCTCCAGCTACGTGACCAGATGGCGAGGATTTTCTTGGCGTCACAGCAGTTTGGGGTGGGGGTTATGTGCGGGACAGAGGTCGTAGTTAGAGGCGTCCGCCGCGCTCTGGCTGACCACCCAGACTGGGTGGTCCTGCAGCTAGACGTGGCGAATGCCTTTAACTCTTTCCACCGAGACAGGATGTTCCAGGCGCTGCAGGCCAGCCCGGAGTTTCAGTGCCTGATCCCCTTCATCGGCCTCTTCTACGGGACGCCCTCGGATCTCCACTACAGGTCAGGCACGGGAGTGGTCACGATGTACTCGGAGCGGGGCACTCGCCAGGGAGACCCTCTCAGCCCCTTCTTGTACGCTCTGACACAGCGTCTTGCTTTGGAGCCGGTTCTGGTGGAGGGGGGATGTCCAGCTCTGGTCGTACGCCGATGACACGTACGTGCTAGGTCCCCCAGACAGGGTGCTGCACCACTTTGCCGAGATCGTGAGGCGCTTGGGCGAGATGGGCCTTGCAGCCCAGCCGCACAAGTGCCTCGTCTACCAGATAGAGTCCTTTCTGTCCAGGGATCTGGAGGCCTTCACGGGCCTAGGGATCGAGGTCGCACGCCGAGGGCTCACCGTGACAGGCATACCGGTAGGCACCGTTTCGTTCGTGGAGCAGAGTCTCTCGGATCGTCTCGAGAGGATGGGGCGGGTGCTACCTTGGCTTCCGAGGTTGCGCCAGCCCCAGACAGCTGCCCGCCTTCTGTCGGCGTGTGTCAGCACTCGTCCGCAGTACCTGTCGAGGACCGTCCCTCCTTCGCCCGCAGTGATCTCTAGTTTGACACGGTGGGACGCACGCCTGGGAGAGACATTTCAGCAGCTTTTAGCTTCAGGGACCTGGGCTTGTCGCGAGGACGTCCGAGAGGCCGCCCTAGACCAGATCTTCCTCCCCATCCGTCTCGGGGGTTTCGGCATTCGTCGCATGGCACGCATTGCCCCGGTGAGTTTCGTGTGCTCCTGGGTGCAGTGTGCTCCCATTCTCTGTTCTCTCCCTGCGTGTGGCGAGGCGTTTCGGCAGAGCTTCGCTTCAGGTGAGCCAGAGCAGATCGACCGGGCTCTGCAGACGGCGCTAGAGGGTCTCCCACCTGACGTTCTCTCTCTCCTTCCCCCCTGGCCCTCTTGCGCTTCTGCCTCCCCCGATTCCCTTTTTGCAGGAGCGAGCCGTCTTCTGGAGGCGCATGCCTTGGAGGCTGTGCGTGCCCGTCACTCCTCTCCCTTGCACCTTGCCCGTTTGACTTCCCTTCAGGGCGGAGGTGCAGGGGCGTGGTTGACGTCGGTGCCGTACGCTGACCCACTGCGCATCCCGGAGGCGCTGTGGCAGACGGCTTCATCTTCTCGTCTTGGTCTCCCTATCCCCCAGTTAGCCCTTGCAGGTCAGTGCTCCTGCGGACAGGCGATTGACGACATGACGGTGCCTCATCACGCGGTTCGGTGCCCGCGCTACGGGGTCGCCACTACCATCCACGACACGGTGAAGTACATGCTTCGAGACTTTGCAGTCGAGGCGGGCTTCGCGGTAAAGGTGGAGGACTCTACGCTGTTCACACAGTTGGAGGCGGCTCGAGCGAGACTACTGGGACAGCCAGTGGTGGGAGAGGGGACGCGGGCTGAGGGACCGGGGGAGCAGAGAGGCGAGGCGGGATCGCCGGGTGGTGGGGGACAGTGGGGACAGCACCAGCTGCGGGGTCAGGTGGAGCGAGGGATAGGTGGGCAGAGGGGACGGCAGGGGGAGCAGACGGGCCAGGACGGGGAGGGGAGACGGCACAGGCAGCAGCAGGAGAGCCAGTGGAGGCCGCGGGCCCAGGGCGCCGCGCCTCCAGGTTCGGCCTCGGGGGTGGGGCAGGGGGCGGGAGCAGCAGAGAGCGGACGGAGGTACAGGAGGGGCAGCGGGATTGGGAGGGGAGGGCCAGGGAGTGAGAGAGGCAGCAGGGGATGGAGCAGGGGGTTCGGGAGGGTTGGGGGAGGGTAGAGAGGGGGAGGGGAGAGGACAGGTGGATGGAGGAGAGGAGAGGGGGAGAGAGACGATCGGAGAGGAGGCACCAAGGGACCAGACAGGGCAGCAGCCAGCGCAACAGCAGGGACCAGTCGGACGCACAGGCCGTGTAGGCACCACCTCCCGCATCCCAGACCTCACCTGCCGCGACGTTGGCCAAGGTCTGATGGTTCTTGTGGATGTCTCCATAGCGGATCCACAGCGGGAGGGGAACGTGCAGCTGAGACGGGCGACCCCCACACAGATTGGAGTGGCAGCAGCTAGGCGGGTGCAGGAGAAGCTGCGGCACTGGGGGCCGCACTTAGAGGGGCTGCAGCCGGCACCACACTTTTACGCGTGCGTGGCGGAGACCTTTGGCCTTCTGAGTGAGCCGCTGCGTCAGTTTCTGGGGCTCTGCGCAAAGAGGATAGCACAGCGGAGGAGGGATAGAGGTGGGGGGGATGACGGATCGGCACGGATATTTGAGGCAGGACTCACTACACGCCTCTCCGTTGCACTGCAGCGTGCGCAGGCTCAATGCATGATCCAGCATGCGGTGCGGCAGTTAGGGAGATCCGACGACGGGTGGATGCCCGCACTAGTCCCAATGGGTGCGGGGCAGGGTACTTGGCACCACGTCACAGGGTGCTTCGAGAGTGTGGCTGATATGCAGTATATATATGATGCATATGTGTAAAAAACAATAGTGGCTGTGCTTGAAACGCTGTGCCCGTGCGGTCGTGCGGGTTGCTGCCGTGTTTTGGTCCTTTGGTGCTTCCCCCTCCTTAGTCTCTCTCCCTCTCTCCTCTTCTCTTCCCACCGCCCTCTTTCTGTTCCCTTCTTCTATCCTTCCCTTCTCTTCCTACCACCCTCTTCTTTTCCCTACCACTTCTTCTTACTCCTTCATCCTTCCTTCCTTTCCTTTCTTTCCCCCTTTTCCTACAAAATATATATACCGTCCTCATAGCGATTAGGCTATGTCGAAATTTCCTAGTCTTGGAAAAACCAATATATTCGGCTTGTATTTGCTCTTCCCCTATTAATGAATAGCTGCTGTCGCCCACCGGCGCTTAGCTTCGGAGTTCTGATGGGATCCGGCGTAGTAGCCGAGGTATGATCGTACCACGTCAACCTCGTGCCCCGACCGCTACACACCCCTTGCCCGGGTCCCCCCCTTCATAGTCACACCCCCTGCCCCCTCATGCCATCCGCTCCCCCCGCCCCTACCCTCCGCGTGCCCGCTCCCTTGCCGCCTCTTTTGACCCTCCCTGCCCCACCTCGCCATTTCCCACTGCCCGCCATTCGCTCCTCCCCGCCCGTGCGCTCCCCTCCTTTACCTTCTCCTCCCCCCTCCCCTCCTCTGCTGCACGCCTCTTCCTTCCCCTCGCCGACCCACTCCACTCCCTGCCCCTCCTCAATCCGCACCCTGCCCCTCGTATCTCGCCCCCCTATGCTTGGTTTCTCCCCTCCCTGCCCCTCGCCGCCTTTCCCCGCTCCCCACCTCCCCCCTCTCCCTGCCCCCCCACTCTCCCCCCCCTTGTCCTTGGCTTCCTACCTCCCTGCCTCACCTTTCCCCCCTCCGTGTGCTCAGCTTCTCCCCTCCCTGCCCCTCCCTCCTCCCCGCCCTGCCCCTCATTTTCCGCCCCCCCCACGCCCGGTTTCTCCCCTCCCCGCACCTCCCTTTCTTTCTCCGTGCCTCTCCTTTGCTCCCTCCCTGCCCCCGCCTGCCCATGCCCCTGTCTTTGGCTTCTCCCCTCCCTGCCCCACGTTTCTTCCCTCCCTGCCCCCCGTCTGCCCCTCCCTTGTTTTCCCCTCACCCATTGCTTCTCTCCTCCCTGCCCTTGATTTCCCACACCCCTGCCCTCGTTTCCTATCATCCATGCCCCTCGTTTCCCCCCTTTGTACGTTCAGCCTCTTCCCTCCCTGCCCCTCCCTTCCTCCCCCCCTGCCCTTTGCTCTCCCCTCGTTACGCTCCCTTCTCCCCATCCCTGCTGCCCTCTTACCACCATCAGCCCATCCCCACGACCAGCCCCCCTCCCACCCTTCAATCCCCCCCTCCCTCTCTCTCCCTCTCTCTCTCTCTCTCGCTCTCTCTCTCTCTCTCTCTCTCTTTCTCACACACACACACACGCACACTCCCCTCCCCCACCCCCCACGTACATCCTCCCTTTCTGCCCCTCCCTGCCCCTTTCCCACCCCCTCGCACGCCCCTCACCTCCCACCTCCGTGCAACTGGTTTCCCCCCTATGGTGCCACCCTTGCATCGCTCGCCCCTCTGCTCACCCTCTGCCCGCCCCTTTTCCATGCCCTCAGTTGGCCCAGCCCCTGCCCGTTGCTGCCCCTCCCCTTGCCCCCTCAACTCCCCTGCCCCCCGTACACCCCAAGTCCCATCCAACCGCCCCCACCCTCCCCCGGCTGCCCGTTTCCGCTCTCCACCCCCGCGACCGTGTGCGGCTTCCAACCGCCCAACGGTGGTGCGCACGGGGCGTTTCTTCGCACGGGCAAGCCTCCCCGGGGGCCCCCCACCCCGCTGGGTCGTTGTTTGGGCAAAAAAAAAAAAAAAAAAAGAATCAGACGCGCTAAAAATCGTCCTTTCTTTTTCCCGCTTGCCCCTCCCCCGGCACGTGCCGAGCAAGGGGCATAAATGGGTACAACACGAGGACTTCCCGGGAGGTCACCCAGCCCAGTACTGCTCTCGCCCACCGGCGCTCTTACCTTGACCTAGCTTACCTAGCCATGGCTGCCTACTAAGGAGCCTCCTAAACCTACTATTTCGAGTTGCTTAAGGACAAAGTGATTGTGATAGTTGTTTATGCTATAGTTATAAGCGTTTCCAACGGTTAGTTTTCCAGTTTCGACTGTCGAGTTCGACGGGACAGGGGTCGCGAGTTTCGCGCGCGACCCTCAGGAGTCTCGGAAACGGAACTCGCGGGGTGTTACGGAACCGCTCGTTCGACCCCGCCATCGCGGGAAGGCTGCGGACGCGCTGCAGCCGGTGTAACGGGAGGTGGGGCGTTGACACGAAGTTCGCCCGCGGAGTGTAACAGCGCGCGCGACTCACAACCACAACTCCGCCAGACACGGTGTTCCCGCCCATCCCCTCTCTCGACACTCTCCCTTATCGCCCCGCTCTTTTCTGCCCACGGCTTTGCTATTCGAAGCGATTAGCTGCTACCGAGTTTCTTCCCGTGGTTTCCCTCTCTCGAAGTCACTGAGCTTAGCTTCCGCCCGTAGTTAGCATTCTTCCTTCCCTTTCAGTGCGCCCTTCTTTATCGAAACCCTAATTCGAAGAGCCGCGCGTTTTCAAGCACGCTTTCTCGTCGCCTATCACGTTTAGTCACGCACTCGTTTTCCCCGCCCGTTCAATCTAGCCGCGACGTAGACGGAACCGCGCACGGGGCGCTTACCGCCAGGGAAAGGCAGCGCGGAGGGAGGCGAAATTGCTACGTTCGTAGCGATTAAGCAGCCCTCCCCTTGCGCGCCTCCTGAAGCGCGTTTTCTGCCTAGAGCGTTTTAGCCGCCCAGGTTTGGCACACAAGCCGCCCCACTCCCCCTTTGCTCACTCCCACCCTGCCATGCCTCGTCGCGCACTCGTGCATGCCACCCACACGCCGTAATCTTACCCCGTCGCCACCCACATATTCACCTTCCTGCTCACACCGCCCCTTTCCCCCTCACATGCGCGCTTTAGCCACCCCGCCACCTAACCTCTTTCCCTAACGGCGCTTAGCTAGCAGAGGCCGCCCTGTCTCTGGAAACCGTAGGAAATAAGAGGAAACAACTTCAAGGAAAAAAGAAAAGAAAAAGAAATTCATATAAATCGGAAAAAAACAGGAAAAATCAGAAAGGCAGCTTACACCTTGTTCTCCCAACCCTCCAGGGCCCCATCCAGTCCGCCACCCCCCCATTCTGTTTCATCATACTACACCACACCCTCCCCTTTTGCCCACCAGCATTACCGCCCCTCTCCCCTTATCCCCCACCACGCCCCCAAGCAGGCTTTTCTCCCCCCAGCCCCCCGTCTCCCTGCCCTTAGTACCGCCGCGCTCTGCCCGTGCGTCACCCTCGCCCACTTCATACCACCTCCCCCTTCTCCCCCCCCCCCCCCCCCGGCTTCCCCCTATCATCACCCGCATGTTCCCCCACTCCCCTGTCCACAACGTCCCTCCTCCACCCCCCCTCCTGCCTTCCCCACTCCCACTCTGCTCCCCACACCTCTACGAGCCGTACCTCCCCCTCCAGCCTCCCTTTTCCCCCCCAGCTACTTCCGCATCCAGCGTGGGCTGCACCTCTGCATCCTGCCCTGCCAGGCCCTTCGACGACCCAACTGCCGCTACCTGACACCACGCCGCCTTTCCCACCCCCATCCAATCTCTACACCCCCTGCCCCTGCTCCCTGCGCAATCCAGCCACCTACCCCAGCCTCCCTCTACCTCTCCCTAACTCCACACCGCCGTTCCCACCTCCAGCCAGGGTCTACACCCCTTGCTTTTGCTCCCTGTGCTGTGCCGTCCCCAACCTCCGTCCGCCTTTCCGCGGCACCAGACCGCCTCTCCCTCCCCCAGCCAACCTCTGCACCCCCTGTTCCTGCCCCTTGTGCCTTCCAACACCCTACCCCAACCCCCCCCAGTCTCCCCCTTCTCCAACACCCTCCATATTTCCTCCCCCCTGGGGCTCGCCCATCCGCAGTTATCACCCTTCATCAATTCCCCAATTCCCTCTGTCCCCTGTTTCCCAGCCCCGCATCCTATTATGCATTTACCACAGCGCCTCCTTTCGGTGCCCTTTCGGCCCTCCCACGTTCTCACCCCCCGCCTCCCAACCTTCTCATTACCCGCTACCAGGCTCACGCCAACTCGACTACCCACTACCCTTTGCCCCTTCCTCTCTGTTCCCCACCCTTCCTTCCCCACTTGGCTCCACCTGCCCACCCCCACCTCCCGTGGAATTCTGCCCTGCCCTCCCCACCTCTGGCCCACCACCTGTCCCCACACCCTGCTCACCCACCACCACATCACCCCCGCCCCCCCACCTCCACTACAGCCCGCCAACACTTCCCCTCTCAACCGGCCCCCAGCCCGCCCCCCCCTTGGGCCCCAATCCCCTCCAACTGTCAGGCCCCCTCTACCCTCTCTTCCACCCACTGCGCACCGCTGTCCCCACCCTTTTTCCATTTCCCCAAGCTAACCCCCCGCACCCCGGCCTCTGCCAGGGAGTTCCTTCTCCCTTTGACGCCCTCTTGAGCCAACTCCAGCAACTCACACCACCACCGCCAGGCATGCTGCCTCTGTAACAATGCCCCAGCACCCCGCGAGTGGGGAAAAGGCAGACCCGGGAGCCCCTCGGCGATCTGGGAGGTCCCGCAGCCGAGCCACCCCCTACTCTCCCACTCCCCCCACTTCAACAGTCAGGAAGAAACAACACACACCTGACCAAGCAAAAACACTCACACAATCCGACCCTAGGGGCCAGAAGCGTACCCTTGAAGAGGATGGAACAGAGGAACGCCAAGCCCCACTGGAGGAAATACACAAGGAGGAGCCAGCACACTCAAAACCGCGCCCTACCCCCGCGGCCCCATCCCAGCCTACCCCCCCTTCAGGTGACAGCGGGGGCGGCACCCATGCATGCCAAGTGGAGAGATCCTCCAACTCACTCGCTACCTCCCATTCGCAAACCAGATTACTTGTGAAAACACTTAATCCTACTAGCACCCCCAAGCACATAGAAGCGGGAGAGGGCAGAGCCAGGGGGGAACTTGCAGCTAACACTGCACGGGAAGGGGTAAGTGAATTTGTGTGTGAAGGAGCAGCAGAGGCTGCAGAGGATGGGGCAGCAAAGGCTGCACGGGAAGGGGCAATGGGGGTTGTGGGGGAAGGGGCAGCAGAGGTTGCAGAGGAAAGGGCAGCAGAGGCTGCAAGGGAAGGGGCAGCAGCGGCTGCACGGGAAAGGGCGGCAGAGGCTGCACGGGAAGGGGCGGCAGGGACCGTGACTCTGGCCAGGCAAAGGGCAGAGGCCATGGAGACAGGTTTTGCAGGAGTAGGGGCCACGGAACCTGCTGCTGTGTCGGCTGGGGGAACCGCAGCAGAGGAGGCTATAGGGACCGCACCAGGCGAGGCCGCACAGACCACAGCAGGTGGGGCTGCAGGGATCACAACGGGTGAGGCTGCAGGAGGGACCATGGCAGGTGAAGCCGCAAGGAGCGCAATAGGTGAGGCTCCAGGGAGCGCAGCAGGTGAGGCTGTAGGGAGCGCAGCAGGTGAGGCTGCAGAGAGCGCAGCAGGTGAGGCCGCAGGGAGCGCAGCAGGCGAGGCTGCAGGGAGCGCAGCAGGCGAGGCTGCAGGGAGCGCAGTAGGCGGGGCTGCAGGGGCCACAGCAGGTGAGGCTGCGGCGGACGCAGCAGGTGAGGCTGCGAGGGCTGCATCATGTAAGGTTAGGCAGACTCTAGCAGGTGAGGCTGCACAGTCTACAGGTGGTGAGGTCGCAGGGACTGCAACAGGTGAGGCCGCAGGGACTGCAGCAGGTGAGGCCGCAGGGACTGCAACAGGTGAGGCCGCAGGGACTGCAGCAGGTGAGGCTGCAGGGACCACAGCGGATGAGGCTGCAGGCGGGACCAGGGCAGGTGAGGCCGCAGGGAGCGCAGCAGGTGAGGCTGAAATAGCCGCAGCAGGTGAGGCTGCAGAGGCCGCAGCATGTGAGGTTGAGCAGATTCTAGCAGGTGAGGCTGCACAGACTGCAGCAGGTAAGGCCGTAGGGACTGCAGCACGTGAGGCTGCAGGGGCCGCGGCAGGCAAGGCTGCAGGGATCGCGGCTGGTGAGGCTGAGCAGATTACGGTAGGCGAGGATTTACAAACGGCAGCAGTCGAGGCTGCTAGGACTGCAGCAGGAGCGACAGAGGCCACAGTGGGGGCCGGTACAGGGGGAGGTGCTACGGGTGCAGCGGGGAAGGGGGTAACGGGGACTGGTGCGAGGGAGAGTGCCGCCCCGCCTGTAGCAAGAGAGGGTACGGCAGGGGCTAGAGTGGGAGAAGGGACAGCAGTGGCCTCAAAGGCAGAAGGTGAGGCTGCAGCTGAAGCAGCAGGGAGGGCCATAGCACGGCCAGTAGGGGCGGCAGGGGCCGCAGCAAACGCGGGGAAACACACAGCAGGGCAGGCAGAGACTGCAAAAGGGGCTAGCAGTAAAGCGGCAGCAGGCGGGGTGGGCTCGGGGGACATAGGGGCAACAGGGGAAGGAGAGGTGAGTGTGGTCCCGACCGGGGTGGGCACCGAAGAGGGGGATGTGATAGCGATAGAGGAGGATGAGGGAGAGGATGTGATGCACATTGACGGGCCACTGGCCCAATACCTCACGCTTGACGGTGAGGCCGACCCGGCCCCCCTGCAGCCTCACGTCGAGGTTCCCCCTCTACCCCCCATGCCCGTCCCCATGCTAGCAGAAGGACCGATGGAGGGGCTGGGGGAGACCTGGAGGACAGAGCCGCGCGAGGGAGCCCCCATCCTCACCTCCCGTCCTCCAGCCCACCCACCCCCAGGAGCACCACTTCCCACCCCCACCCTCAGGTCCCGGTAGTATCCAGGGGGGCAGCCAAGGCCCTGGCCTTCTTGGTGGAGCCGTGCTCCCCGACCCCCACGTTGCTCCATGGCCAGCCCCCCCCTCCGTCCCCAACGCCTGACCCCACGGTTGCAGGCGGTCCACCGGGAGAGCACGCGGGTGCGACAAGAGCAGAGTCACCCGAGGGCACCCCTTCTCTCACCTCTCACCCCTCCCCGCCCCTTCCCTCACTCCTTCCCTCACCCCCAAGGGCAGCACACCTCTGCCCCCACCCTCAGGGGCTCCTTAGAGCACCACGTGGAGCAGCCAGGGCTCTGGCCTTCCTAGAGGAGCCATGCTCCCCGACTCCTACCAACACCCAGCCACCCCCTACCGGCCCACTACCCCCCCCTCCACCAGCCCCCCCCCCACCCGGTAGTACACACATCTCGGAGGTTGAAGCATCTCTGCGGCCAAATCCCTCTCCCACACGCTACAGGCACCCAAACCACCCGAGTCGCCGCACAGCCCCAACACGCCCACCCAACAGGCTGCCCCCCTCACACCACCCCCCCCCCAGGCAGCCGAGATCCACCCGCAAGGGCTTGCGCCCCAGGCTCATGGGAGCGGCGGCACCCGGGTAGAGGGGCCCACAGGAGAGGCCACTACAGAGCCCACACAAATCTCTCTCCCCCCACCGCTTGTACCTCGCTCTAACCTCCACACTGGCCCAGCCCCTCGACCCCCACCTCCAACCCCCTCTCCCGGCCGGGTTCCCCACGAGTGGCCCCGTTGGGCAGCCATCACCCCCCACACACAGCCTGCCCGATCTGTTCCCACGGAGGGGGATGTTTCGAGGAGAGAGGGGATGCACACAGAGCACCCCCCGCCTGGCGAACCACCCATCCTCCCTCCACCCACCCCTTTGGCCCCACAGCCCCCCCTTCCTTCACAAACAGGCGCGGACAACCAGGTTGGCCGCCGGCGGAAGAACAGGGGCAGAGGAGGCAGAGGGTCAGCCCACGTACTCCCCCCTCCCTCCCTCCCCCACCAAGAGCCCCTCCCCACCCCACATCCCGTTGAACCCTTACCAGGCCCTACCTCTACAGCCCGACCACCAAACCTAACACTCCCGCCCCGCTCCTGCACCTCCACAGGGCCATGGGAGCGGACCAGCCCACTCACCCCCATTCTGCCCCTCCCGTGCTGTGTCCCCCTCCCAGGTGGCGGCGGCCGCGATCACTACTGGGATGGAGGCCGTCGGGTTGAGGGATGCGCCCATGGAAGACGCCACCGACTCCCCCTCCCATCCCTCCCACCCCTTCCATGTCGACGACCCCCTGCCGCAACCCATGGTGATTGGGGAGGGCCAAGGGGGCCTTCTAGGGCATGGTCCACACCCGAGCTCTGCTCAGCCGGCACGCCCCACTCCACCCTCTACCCTGCCAGCCCTCCTACTCTCACCTACAGGCAGGCAGGTCTTCGAGACCCCAGAGGAGGTGAGGGCTGGCATTTCAGATTTGCTGGCGATACACCGCCCGAGCAGCTCTCCGGCTGCCCCCACCCTTCCAGTCCCACAGGACCGGACCCGGACGTATGCGGAGGTCACCCGGTCTGTCCCTTCTTTTATCCCCCCCGCCACTCAGCTAGGCGCGTCACTCCCGACCCCAATGGAGACGGACCGGGTTCTGAGGCCGTGTCACTCGCACCTAGATGGGGTGGCGCCTCCCCCCGTTCAGCCCGTGGCGCAGGAGGTCACCAGCAGTAGGGATGAGGCATCCGCCCCTACCGAGACCCCTCCGCCTGGGGTAGCAGAGCCGTCACTTGAACCAGTACCGGCACGAGGCCCGGCCCTATCCTGTGCGACACCACCTCTATCTTCGCTGACACCCCCCCCGCACGGGGCTGGTGAGTCGTCTCCTCCCCTCATCCCAGGCGATCCTCTCGGAGCTCAGGCCGCCCACGGGGTCCCCTCTACAGCCAGTTCCGACGCCACAGCCCCGATTGACCCCGCCGACACGGCGACATCACCCAACCAGGTCGTGAGTTGCCCCACCTGCAGGAGCTCTCTCGCGAACCGACGCGCGCTCCAGCACCACATTCCCTTCTGCCATCCTGCGGACGCGGCTCGCAGGGCGCAGGCTGCCCATGATACCGCCTTGATCATCCCTTCCCTCTCACAGCCCCGTGCAACATGGATAAAGTTCACCGACGCACAGTGGCAGACGCTCGACTCGGTGGACTGGACAGAGTACTTCTCGCCCGAGCGTATCCATGCACGCCCTCTCCGACGTGTCCCGGAGAGGGTCCGCGGAGGATATCTCGACGTCCTCAGTGCGATCCTAGTCCGCATTGCCCAGGACCCGGAGGCTGCTGGCCCTACCTTCCTCCTCGCTGCAGCGCCGACTCTTTTCCTTGTTCCAGCGACGCCACCCGACCGCTCGCACACGGCTGCCATTGCAACGCGCATCTCCCGCTTTGGTCGAGGTGAGTGGGCTGAGCTAGTCTCAGATGCACTAGGCCGTCGCACACCCCTTCCTCGGCGCACAGGTCACCGGTCACGCACCGCCACCGATCCCTCTACAGCAGATGAGCGCCGCATTGCACGTTGCCTTCGTCTGGCAGCGTGCAATGAGACCTCACGGGCGTGCGCGGCTCTCGAGTCCGCGGAGGCAGCCCCAGATACACAGGGGACGATACAGCGCCTGCAGTCGAAGCACCCCAACGCGGAGAGGCCGACCCCAGCTTGGCAGTCTGGCTTCCAGGGGTCCCCTCTCGTGCTCTCGGTGGATCACTTACGCCGCGCGATTTTCACAGCTCCGCGGGGCTCTTCGGGAGGACCGTCCGGTTGGGTCGCTGAGCACCTGCGAGACACTTTCCTAGCTTTCCCTCAGAGTCTCCATTTCCTCCTTGCCGTGTACCAGCAGTGGCTTCGAGGCCGTTGCGCTCCAGCTGCGCGCTCCTTGCTAGGGTCTTCCACCCTTGTGGCTCTGGCGAAGTCGAACATGGATGTTCGGCCGATTGCCATCGGCGAGGTTTTGGTCCGCATTCTTTCTCGTGCAGTCTGTCTCCAGCTACGTGACCAGATGGCGAGGGTCTTCTTGGCGTCACAGCAGTTTGGGGTGGGGGTTACGTGCGGGACAGAGGTCGTAGTTAGAGGCGTCCGCCGCGCTCTGGCTGACCACCCAGACTGGGTGGTCCTGCAGCTAGACGTGGCGAATGCCTTTAACTCCTTCCACCGAGACAGGATGTTCCAGGCGCTGCAGGCCAGCCCGGAGTTTCAGTGCCTGATCCCCTTCATCGGCCTCTTCTACGGGACGCCCTCGGATCTCCACTACAGGTCAGGCACGGGAGTGGTCACGATGCACTCGGAGCGGGGCACTCGCCAGGGAGACCCTCTCAGCCCCTTCTTGTAGGCTCTGACACAGCGTCTTGCTTTGGAGCCGGTTCTGGTGGAGGGGGATGTCCAGCTCTGGTCGTACGCCGATGACACGTACGTGCTAGGTCCCCCAGACAGGGTGCTGCACCACTTTGCCGAGATCGTGAGGCGCTTGGGCGAGATGGGCCTTGCAGCCCAGCCGCACAAGTGCCTCGTCTACCAGACAGAGTCCTTTCTGTCCAGGGATCTGGAGGCCTTCACGGGCCTAGGGATCGAGGTCGCACGCCGAGGGCTCACCGTGACAGGCGTACCGGTAGGCACCGTTTCGTTCGTGGAGCAGAGTCTCCCGGATCGTCTCGAGAGGATGGGGCGGGTGCTACCTTGGCTTCCGAGGTTGCGCCAGCCCCAGACAGCTGCCCGCCTTCTGTCGGCGTGTGTCAGCACTCGTCCGCAGTACCTGTCGAGGACCGTCCCTCCTTCGCCCGCAGTGATCTCTAGTTTGACACGGTGGGACGCACGCCTGGGAGAGACATTTCAGCAGCTTTTAGCTTCAGGGACCTGGGCTTGTCGCGAGGACGTCCGAGAGGCCGCCCTAGACCAGATCTTCCTCCCCATCCGTCTCGGGGGTTTCGGCATTCGTCGCATGGCACGCATTGCCCCGGTGAGTTTCGTGTGCTCCTGGGTGCAGTGTGCTCCCATTCTGTGTTCTCTCCCTGCGTGTGGCGAGACGTTTTGGCAGAGCTTCGCTTCAGGTGAGCCAGAGCAGATCGACCGGGCTCTGCAGACGGCGCTAGAGGGTCTCTCACCTGACGTTCTCTCTCTCCTTCCCCCCTGGCCCTCTTGCGCTTCTGCCTCCCCCGATTCCCTTTTTGCAGGAGCAAGCCGTCTTCTGGAGGCGCATGCCTTGGAGGCCGTGCGTGCCCGTCACGCCTCTCCCTTGCACCTTGCCCGTTTGACTTCCCTTCGGGGCGGAGGTGCAGAGGCGTGGTTGACGTCGGTGCCGTACGCTGACCCACTGCGCATCCCGGAGGCGCTGTGGCAGGCGGCTTCATCTTCTCGTCTTGGTCTCCCTATCCCCGAGTTAGCCCTTGCAGGTCAGTGCTCCTGCGGACAGGCGATTGACGACATGACGGTGCCTCATCACGTGGTTCGGTGCCCGCGCTACGGGGTCGCCACTACCATCCACGACACGGTGAAGTACATGCTTCGAGACTTTGCGGTCGAGGCGGGCTTCGCGGTAAAGGTGGAGGACTCTACGCTGTTCACACAGTTGGAGGCGGCTTGAGCGAGACTACTGGGACAGCCAGTGGTGGGAGAGGGGACGCGGGCTGAGGGACCGGGGGAGCAGAGAGGCGAGGCGGGACAGCCGGGTGGCGGGGGACATTGGGGACAGCACCAGCTGCGGGGTCAGGTGGAGCGAGGGATAGGTGGGCAGAGGGGACGGCAGGGGGAGCAGACGGGCCAGGACGGGGAGGGGAGACGGCACAGGCAGCAGCAGGAGAGCCAGTGGAGGCCGCGGGCCCAGGGCGCCGCGCCTCCAGGTTCGGCCTCGGAGGTGGGGCAGGGGCGGGAGCAGCAGAGAGCGGACGGAGGTACAGGAGGGGCAGCGGGATTGGGAGGGGAGGGCCAGGGAGTGAGAGAGGCAGCAGGGGATGGAGCACGGGGGTCGGGAGGGTTGGGGGAGGGTAGAGAGGGGGAGGGGAGAGGACAGGTGGATGGAGGAGAGGAGAGGGGGAGAGAGACGATCGGAGAGGAGGCGCCAAGGGACCAGACAGGGCAGCAGCCAGCGCAACAGCAGGGACCAGTCGGACACACAGGCCGTGTAGGCACCGCCTCCCGCATCCCAGACCTCACCTGCCGCGACGTTGGCCAGGGTCTGATGGTTCTTGTGGATGTCTCCATAGCGGATCCACAGCGGGAGGGGAACGTGCAGCTGAGACGGGCGACCCCCACACAGATTGGAGTGGCAGCAGCTAGGCGGGTGCAGGAGAAGCTGCGGCACTGGGGGCCGCACTTAGAGGGGCTGCAGCCGGCACCACACTTTTACGCGTGCATGGCGGAGACCTTTGGCCTTCTGAGTGAGCCGCTGCGTCAGTTTCTGGGGCTCTGCGCAAAGAGGATAGCACAGCGGAGGAGGGATAGAGGTGGGGGGGATGACGGATCGGCACGGATATTTGAGGCAGGACTCACTACACGCCTCTCCGTTGCACTGCAGCGCGCGCAGGCTCAATGCATGATCCAGCATGCGGTGCGGCAGTTAGGGAGATCCGATGACGGGTAGATGCCCGCACCAATCCCACTGGGTGCGGGGCAGGGTACTTGGCACCACGTCACAGGGTGCTTCGAGAGTGTGGCTGATATGCAGTATATATATGATGCATATGTGTAAAAAGCAATAGTGGCTGTGCTTGAAACGCTGTGCCCGTGCGGTCGTGCGGGTTGCTGCCGTGTTTTGGTCCTTTGGTGCTTCCTCCTCCTTAGTCTCTCTCCCTCTCTCCTCTTCTCTTCCCACCTCCCTCTTTCTGTTCCCTTCTTCTATCCTTCCCTTCTCTTCCTACCACCCTCTTCTTTTCCCTACCACTTCTTCTTACTCCTTCATCCTTCCTTCCTTTCCTTTCTTTCCCCCTTTTCCTACAAAATATGTATACCGTCCTCATAGCGATTAGGCTATGTTGAAATTTCCTAGTCTTGGAAAAACCATTATATTCGGCTTGTATTTGCTCTTCCCCTATTAATGAATAACTGCTCTCGCCCACCGGCGCTTAGCTTCGGAGTTCTGATGGGATCCGGCGTAGTAGCCGAGGTATGATCGTACCACGTCAACCTCGTGCCCCGACCGCTACACACCCCTTGCCCGGGTCCCCCCCTTCATAGTCACACCCCCTGCCCCCTCATGCCATCCGCTCCCCCCGCCCCTACCCTCCGCGTGCCCGCTCCCTTGCCGCCTCTTTTGACCCTCCCCGCCCCCCCTCGCCATTTCCCACCGCCCGCCATTCGCTCCTCCCCGCCCGTGCGCTCCCCTCCTTTACCTTCTCCTCCCCCCTCCCCTCCTCTGCTGCACGCCTCTTCCTTCCCCTCGCCGACCCACTCCACTCCCTGCCCCTCCTCAATCCGCACCCTGCCCCTCGTATCTCGCCCCCCTATGCTTGGTTTCTCCCCTCCCTGCCTCTCGCCGCCTTTCCCCGCTCCCCACCTCCCCCCTCTCCCTGCCCCCCCACTCTCCCCCCCTTGTCCTTGGCTTCCTACCTCCCTGCCTCACCTTTCCCCCCTCCGTGTGCTCAGCTTCTCCCCTCCCTGCCCCTCCCTCCTCCCCGCCCTGCCCCTCATTTTCCGCGCCCCCCCTCCACGCCCGGTTTCTCCCCTCCCCGCGCCTCCCTTTCTTTCTCCGTGCCTCTCCTTTGCTCCCTCCCTGCCCCCGCCTGCCCATGCCCCTGTCTTTGGCTTCTCCCCTCCCTGCCCCACGTTTCTTCCCTCCCTGCCCCCCGTCTGCCCCTCCCTTGTTTTCCCCTCACCCATTGCTTCTCTCCTCCCTGCCCTTGATTTCCCACACCCCTGCCCTCGTTTCCTATCATCCATGCCCCTCGTTTTCCCCCTTTGTACGTTCAGCCTCTTCCCTCCCTGCCCCTCCCTTCCTCCCCCCCTGCCCTTTGCTCTCCCCTCGTTACGCTCCCTTCTCCCCATCCCTGCTGCCCTCTTACCACCATCAGCCCATCCCCACGACCAGCCCCCCTCCCACCCTTCAATCCCCCCCTCCCTCTCTCTCTCTCTCTCTCTCTCTCTCTCTCTCTCTCTCTTTCTCTCTCACACACACACGCACACTCCCCTCCCCCACCCCCCCACGTACATCCTCCCATTCTGCCCCTCCCTGCCCCTTTCCCACCCCCTCGCACGCCCCTCACCTCCCACCTCCGTGCAACTGGTTTCCCCCCTATGGTGCCACCCTTGCATCGCTCGCCCCTCTGCTCACCCTCTGCCCGCCCCTTTTCCGTGCCATCAGTTGGCCCAGCCCCTGCCCGTTGCTGCCCCTCCCCTTGCCCCCTCAACTCCCCTGCCCCCCGTACACCCCAAGTCCCATCCAACCGCCCCCACCCTCCCCCGGCTGCCCGTTTCCGCTCTCCACCCCCGCGACCGTGTGCGGCTTCCAACCGCCCAATGGTGGTGCGCACGGGGCGCTTCTTTGCATGGGCAAGCCTCCCCGGGGGCCCCCCACCCCGCTGGGTCGTTGTTTGGGCAAAAAAAAGGAAAAATAAAAGAATCGGACGCGCTAAAATCGTCCTTTCTTTTTCCCGCTTGCCCCTCCCCCGGCACGTGCCGAGCAAGGGGCATAAATGGGTACAACACGAGGACTTCCCGGGAGGTCACCCAGCCCAGTACTGCTCTCGCCCACCGGCGCTCTTACCTTGACCTAGCTTACCTAGCCATGGCTGCGTACTAAGGAGCCTCCTAAACCTACTATTTCGAGTTGCTTAAGGACAAAGTGATTGTGATAGTTGTTTATGTTATAGTTATAAGCGTTTCCAACGGTTAGTTTTCCTGTTTCGACTGTCGAGTTCGACGGGACGGGGGTCGCGAGTTTCGCGCGCGACCCTCAGGAGTCTCGGAAACGGAACTTGCGGGGTGTTACGGAACCGCTCGTTCGACCCTGCCATCGCGGGAAGGCTGCGGACGCGCTGCAGCCGGTGTAACGGGAGGTGGGGCGTTGACACGAAGTTCGCCCGCGGAGTTTAACAGCGCGCGCGACTCACAACCACAACTCCGCCAGACACGGTGTTCCCGCCCATCCCCTCTCTCGACACTCTCCCTTATCCCCCCGCTCTTTTCTGCCCACGGCTTTGCTATTCGAAGCGATTAGCTGCTACCGAGTTTCTTCCCGCGTTGTCCCTCTCTCGAAGTCTCTGAGCTTAGCTTCCGCCCGTAGTTAGCATTCTTCCTTCCCTTTCAGTGCGCCCTTCTTTATCGAAACCCTAACTCAAAGAGCCGCGCGTTTTCAAGCACGCTTTCTGGTCGCCTATCATGTTTAGTCACGCACTCGTTTTCCCCGCCCGTTCAATCTAGCCGCGACGTAGACGGAACCGCGCACGGGGCGCTTACCGCCAGGGAAAGGCAGCGCGGAGGGAGACGAAATTGCTACGTTCATAGCGATTAAGCAGCCCTCTCCTTGCGCGCCTCCAGAAGTGCGTTTTCTGCCTAGAGCGTTTTAGCCGCCCACGTTTGGCACACAAGCCGCCCCACTCCCCCTTTGCTCACTCCCACCCTGCCATGCCTCGTCGCGCACTCGTGCATGCCACCCACACGTCGTAATCTTACCCCGTCGCCACCCACATATTCACCTTCCTGCTCACACCGCCCCTTTCCCCCTCACACGCGCGCTTTAGCCACCCCGCCACCTAACCTCTTTCCCTAACGGCGCTTAGCTAGCAGAGGCCGCCCTGTCTCTGGAAACCGTAGGAAATAAGAGGAAACAACTTCAAGGAAAAAAGAAAAGAAAAAGAAATTCATGTAAATCGGAAAAAAACAGGAAAAATCAGAAAGGCAGCTTACACCTTGTTCTCCCAACCCTCCAGGGCCCCATCCAGTCCGCCACCCCCCCATTCTGTTTCATCATACTACACCACACCCTCCCCTTTTGCCCACCAGCATTACCGCCCCTCTCCCCTTATCCCCCACCACGCCCCCAAGCAGGCTTTTCTCCCCCCAGCCCCCCGTCTCCCTGCCCTTAGTACCGCCGCGCTCTGCCCGTGCGTCACCCTCGCCCACTTCATACCACCTCCCCCTTCTCCCCCCCCCGGCTTCTCCCTATCATCACCCGCATGTTCCCCCACTCCCCTGTCCACAACGTCCCTCCTCCACCCCCCCTCCTGCCTTCCCCACTCCCACTCTGCCCCCCACACCTCTACGAGCCGTACCTCCCTCTCCAGCCTCCCTTTTCCCCCCCAGCTACTTTCGCATCCAGCGTGGGCTGCACCTCTGCATCCTGCCCTGCCAGGCCCTTCGATGACCCAACTGCCGCCACCTGACACCACGCCGCCTTTCCCACCCCCATCCAATCTCTACACCCCCTGCCCCTGCTCCCTGCGCAATCCAGCCACCTACCCCAGCCTCCCTCTACCTCTCCCTAACTCCACACCGCCGTTCCCACCCCCAGCCAGGGTCTACACCCCTTGCTTTTGCTCCCTGTGCTGTGCCGTCCCCAACCTCTGTCCGCCTTTCCGCGGCACCAGACCGCCTCTCCCTCCCCCAGCCAACCTCTGCACCCCCTGTTCCTGCCCCTTGTGCCTTCCAACACCCTACCCCAACCCCCCCCAGTCTCCCCCTTCTCCAACACCCTCCATATTTCCTCCCCCCTGGGGCTCGCCCATCCGCAGTTATCACCCTTCATCAATTCCCCAATTCCCTCTGTCCCCTGTTTCCCAGCCCCGCATCCTATTCTGCATTTACCACAGCGCCTCCTTTCGGTGCCCTCTCGGCCCTCCCACGTTCTCACCCCCCGCCTCCCAACCTTCTCATTACCCGCTACCAGGCTCACGCCAACTCGACTACCCACTACCCTTTGCCCCTTCCTCTCTGTTCCCCACCCTTCCTTCCCCACTTGGCTCCACCTGCCCACCCCCACCTCCCGTGGAATTCTGCCCTGCCCTCCCCACCTCTGGCCCACCACCTGTCCCCACACCCTGCTCACCCACCGCTACATCACCCCCGCCCCCCCACCTCCACTACAGCCCGCCAACACTTCCCCTCTCAACCGGCCCCCAGCCCGCCCCCCCCTTGGGCCCCAATCCCCTCCAACTGTCAGGCCCCCTCTACCCTCTCTTCCACCCACTGCGCACCGCTTTCCCCACCCTTTTTCCATTTCCCCAAGCTAACCCCCCGCACCCCGGCCTCTGCCAGGGAGTTCCTTCCCCCTTTTACGCCCTCTTGAGCCAACTCCAGCAACTCACACCGCCACCGCCAGGCATGCTGCCTCTGTAACAATGCCCCAGCACCCCGCGAGTGGGGAAAAGGCAGACCCGGGAGCCCCTCGGCGATCTGGGAGGTCCCGCAGCCGAGCCACCCCCTACTCTCCCACTCCCCCCACTTCAACAGTCAGGAAGAAACAACACACACCTGACCAAGCGAAAACACTCACACAATCTGACCCTAGGGGCCAGAAGCGTACCCTTGAAGAGGATGGAACAGAGGAACGCCAAGCCCCACTGGAGGAAATATACAAGGAGGAGCCAGCACGCTCAAAACCGCGCCCTACCCCTGCGGCCCCATCCCAGCCTACCCCCCCTTCAGGTGACAGCGGGGGCGGCACCCATGCATGCCAAGTGGAGAGATCCTCCAACTCACTCGCTACCTCCCATTCGCAAACCAGATTACTTGTGAAAACACTTAATCCTACTAGCACCCCCAAGCACATAGAAGCGGGAGAGGGCAGAGCCAGGGGGGAACTTGCAGCTAACACTGCACGGGAAGGGGTAAGTGAATGTGTGTGCGAAGGAGCAGCAGAGGCTGCAGAGGATGGGGCAGCAAAGGCTGCACGGGAAGGGGCAATGGGGGTTGTGGGGGAAGGGGCAGCAGAGGTTGCAGAGGAAAGGGCAGCAGAGGCTGCAAGGGAAGGGGCAGCAGCGGCTGCACGGGAAAGGGCGGCAGAGGCTGCACGGGAAGGGGCGGCAGGGACCGTGACTCTAGCCAGGCAAAGGGCAGAGGCCATGGAGACAGGTTTTGCAGGAGCAGGGGCCACGGAACCTGCTGCTGTGTCGGCTGGGGGAACCGCAGCAGAGGAGGCTATAGGGACCGCACCAGGCGAGGCCGCACAGACCACAGCAGGTGTGGCTGCAGGGATCACAACGGGTGAGGCTGCAGGAGAGACCCTGGCAGGTGAAGCCGCAGGGAGCGCAGTAGGTGAGGCTGCAGGGAGCGCAGCAGGTGAGGCTGTAGGGAGCGCAGCAGGTGAGGCTGCAGAGAGCGCAGCAGGTGAGGCCGCAGGGAGCGCAGCAGGCGAGGCTGCAGGGAGCGCAGCAGGCGAGGCTGCAGGGAGCGCAGCAGGCGGGGCTGCAGGGGCCGCAGCAGGTGAGGCTGCGGCGGACGCAGCAGGTGAGGCTGCGAGGGCTGCATCATGTAAGGTTGGACAGACTCTAGCAGGTGAGGCTGCACAGTCTACAGCTGGTGAGGTCGCAGGGACTGCAACAGGTGAGGCCGCAGGGACTGCAGCAGGTGAGGCTGCAGGGACCACAGCGGATGAGGCTGCAGGCGGGACCAGGGCAGGTGAGGCCGCAGGGAGCGCAGCAGGTGAGGCTGAAATTGCCGCAGCAGGTGAGGCTGCAGAGGCCGCAGCATGTGAGGTTGAGCAGATTCTAGCAGGTGAGGCTGCACAGATTGCAGCAGGTGAGGCCGCAGGGACTGCAGCAGGTGAGGCTGCAGGGACTGCAGCACGTGAGGCTGCAGGGACCGCGGCAGGCAAGGCTGCAGGGATCGCGGCTGGTGAGGCTGAGCAGATTACGGTAGGCGAGGTTTTACAGACTGCAGCAGTCGAGGCTACAAGGACTGCAGCAGGAGCGACAGAGGCCACAGTGGGGGCCGGTACAGGGGGAGGTGCTACGGGTGCAGCGGGGAAGGGGGTAACGGGGACTGGTGCGAGGGAGAGTGCTGCCCCGGCTGTAGCAAGAGAGGGTACGGCAGGGGCTAGAGTGGGAGAAGGGACAGCAGTGGCCTCAAAGGAAGAAGGTGAGGCTGCAGCTGAAGCAGCAGGGAGGGCCATAGCACGGCCAGTAGGGGCGGCAGGGGCCGCAGCAAACGCGGGGAAACACATAGCAGGGCCGGCAGAGACTGCAAAAGGGGCTAGCAGTAAAGCGGCAGCAGGCATGGTGGGCTCGGGGGACATAGGGGCAACAGGGGAAGGAGAGGTGAGTGTGGTCCCGACCGGGGTGGGCACTGAAGAGGGGGATGTGATAGCGATAGAGGAGGATGAGGGAGAGGATGTGATGCACATTGACGGGCCACTGGCCCAATACCTCACGCTTGACGGTGAGGCCGACCCGGCCCCCCTGCAGCCTCACGTCGAGGTTCCCCCTCTACCCCCCATGCCCGTCCCCATGCTAGCAGAAGGACCAATGGAGGGGCTGGGGGAGACCTTGAGGACAGAGCCGCGCGAAGGAGCCCCCATCCTCACCTCCCGTCCTCCAGCCCACCCACCCCCAGGAGCACCACTTCCCCACCCCCACCCTCAGGTCCCGGTAGTATCCAGGGGGGCAGCCAAGGCCCTGGCCTTCTTGGCGGAGCCGTGCTCCCCGACCCCCACGTTGCTCCATGGCCAGCCCCCCTCTCCGTCCCCAACGCCTGACCCCACGGTTGCAGGCGGTCCACCGGGAGAGCACGCGGGTGCGACAAGAGCAGAGTCACCCGAGGGCACCCCTTCTCTCACCTCTCACCCCTCCCCGCCCCTTCCCTCACTCCTTCCCTCACCCCCAAGGGCAGCACACCTCTGCCCCCACCCTCAGGGGCTCCTTAGAGCACCACGTGGAGCAGCCAGGGCTCTGGCCTTCCTAGAGGAGCCATGCTCCCCGACTCCTACCAACACCCAGCCACCCCCTACCGGCCCACTACCCCCCCCTCCACCAGGCCCCCCCCCACCCGGTAGTACACACATCTCGGAGGTTGAAGCATCTCTGTGGCCAAATCCCTCTCCCACACGCTACAGGCACCCAAACCACCCGAGTCGCCGCACAGCCCCAACACGCCCACCCAACAGGCTGCCCCCCTCACACCACCCCCCCCAGGCAGCCGAGACCCACCCGCAAGGGCTTGCGCCCCAGGCTCATGGGAGCGGCGGCACCCGGGTAGAGGGGCCCACAGGAGAGGCCACCACAGAGCCCACACAAATCTCTCTCCCCCCACCGCTTGTACCTCGCTCTAACCTCCACACTGGCCCAGCCCCTCGACCCCCACCTCCAACCCCCTCTCCCGGCCGGGTTCCCCACGAGTGGCCCCGTTGGGCAGCCATCACCCCCCACACACAGCCTGCCCGATCTGTTCCCACGGAGGGGGATGTTTCGAGGAGAGAGGGGATGCACACAGAGCACCCCCCGCCCGGCGAACCACCCATCCTCCCTCCACCCACCCCTTTGGCCCCACAGCCCCCCCTTCCTTCACAAACAGGCGCAGACAACCAGGTTGGCCGCCGGCGGAAGAACAGGGGCAGAGGAGGCAGAGGGTCAGCCCACGTACTCCCCCCTCCCTCCCTCCCCCACCAAGAGCCCCTCCCCACCCCACATCCCGTTGAACCCTTACCACGCCCTACCTCTACAGCCCGACCACCAAACCTACACTCCCGCCCCGCTCCTGCACCTCCACAGGGCCATGGGAGCGGACCAGCCCACTCACCCCCATTCTGCCCCTCCCGTGCTGTGTCCCCCTCCCAGGTGGCGGCGGCCGCGATCGCTACTGGGATGGAGGCCGTCGGGTTGAGGGATGCGCCCATGGAAGACGCCACCGACTCCCCCTCCCATCCCTCCCACCCCTTCCATGTCGACGACCCCCTACCGCAACCCATGGTGATTAAGGAGGGCCAAGGGGGCCTTCTAGGGCAGGGTCCACACCCGAGCTCCGCTCAGCCAGCACGCCCCACTCCACCCTCTACCCTGCCAGCCCTCCTACTCTCACCTACAGGCAGGCAGGTCTTCGAGAACCCAGAGGAGGTGAGGGCTGGCATTTCAGATTTGCTGGCGATACACCGCCCGAGCAGCTCTCCGGCTGCCCCCACCCTTCCAGTCCCACAGGACCGGACCCGGACGTATGCGGAGGTCACCCGGTCTGTCCCTTCTTTTATCCCCCCCGCCACTCAGCCAGGCGCGTCACTCCCGACCCCAATGGAGACGGACCGGGTTCTGAGGCCGTGTCACGCGCACCTAGATGGGGTGGCGCCTCCCCCCGTTCAGCCCGTGGCGCAGGAGGTCACCAGCAGTAGGGATGAGGCATCTGCCCCTACCGAGACCCCTCCGCCTGGGGTAGCAGAGCCGTCACTTGAACCGCACCCCGCCGAGGGGCAGGAGCACACCACGGCACACACTTCAGGCTCACCTCCACGTCCCCCCTCCCTAGCTTCGACACCGGTACCGGCACGAGGCCCGGCCCTATCCTGTGCGACACCACCTCTATCTTCGCTGACACCCCCCCCGCACGGGGCTGGTGAGTCGTCTCCTCCCCTCATCCCAGGCGATCCTCTCGGAGCTCAAGCCGCCCATGGGGTCCCCTCTACAGCCAGTTCCGACGCCACAGCCCCGATTGACCCCGCCGACACGGCGACATCACCCGACCAGGTCGTGAGTTGCCTCACCTGCAGGAGCTCTCTCGCGAACCGACGCGCGCTCCAGCACCACATTCCCTTCTGCCATCCTGCGGACGCGGCTCGCAGGGCGCAGGCTGCCCATGATACCGCCTCGATCATCCCTTCCCTCTCACAGCCCCGTGCAACCGGGATACAGTTCATCGACGCACAGTGGCAGACGCTCGACTCGGTGGACTGGACAGAGTACTTCTCGCCCGAGCGTATCCATGCACGCCCTCTCCGACGTGTCCCGGAGAGGGTCCGCGGAGGATATCTCGACGTCCTCAGTGCGATCCTAGTCCGCATTGCCCAGGACCCGGAGGCTGCTGGCCCTACCTTCCTCCTCGCTGCAGCGCCGACTCTTTTCCTTGTTCCAGCGATGCCACCCGACCGCTCGCACACGGCTGCCATTGCAACGCGCATCTCCCGCTTTGGTCGAGGTGAGTGGGCTGAGCTAGTCTCAGATGCACTAGGCCGTCGCACACCCCTTCCTCGGCGCACAGGTCACCGGTCACGCACCGCCACCGATCCCTCTACAGCAGATGAGCGCCGCATTGCACGTTGCCTTCGTCTGGCAGCATGCAATGAGACCTCACGGGCGTGCGCGGCTCTCGAGTCCGCGGAGGCAGCCCCAAATACACAGGGGACGATACAGCGCCTGCAGTCGAAGCACCCCAACGCGGAGAGGCCGACCCCAGCTTGGCAGTCTGGCTTCCAGGGGTCCCCTCTTGTGCTCTCGGTGGATCACTTACGCCGCGCGATTTTCACAGCTCCGCGGGGCTCTTCGGGAGGACCGTCCGGTTGGGTCGCTGAGCACCTGCGAGACACTTTCCTAGCTTTCCCTCAGAGTCTCCATTTCCTCCTGGCCGTGTACCAGCAGTGGCTCCGAGGCCGTTGCGCTCCAGCTGCGCGCTCCTTGCTAGCGTCTTCCACCCTCGTGGCTCTGGCGAAGTCGAACATGGATGTTCGGCCGATTGCCATCGGCGAGGTTTTGGTCCGCATTCTTTCTCGTGCAGTCTGTCTCCAGCTACGTGACCAGATGGCGAGGATTCTTCTTGGCGTCACAGCAGTTTGGGGTGGGGGTTATGTGCGGGACAGAGGTCGTAGTTAGAGGCGTCCGCCGCGCTCTGGCTGACCACCCAGACTGGGTGGTCCTGCAGCTAGACGTGGCGAATGCCTTTAACTCTTTCCACCGAGACAGGATGTTCCAGGCGCTGCAGGCCAGCCCGGAGTTTCAGTGCCTGATCCCCTTCATCGGCCTCTTCTACGGGACGCCCTCGGATCTCCACTACAGGTCAGGCACGGGAGTGGTCACGATGCACTCGGAGCGGGGCACTCGCCAGGGAGACCCTCTCAGCCCCTTCTTGTACGCTCTGACACAGCGTCTTGCTTTGGAGCCGGTTCTGGTGGAGGGGGATGTCCAGCTCTGGTCGTACGCCGATGACACGTACGTGCTAGGTCCCCCAGACAGGGTGCTGCACCACTTTGCCGAGATCGTGAGGCGCTTGGGCGAGATGGGCCTTGCAGCCCAGCCGCACAAGTGCCTCGTCTACCAGACAGAGTCCTTTCTGTCCAGGGATCTGGAGGCCTTCACAGGCCTAGGGATCGAGGTCGCACGCCGAGGGCTCACCGTGACAGGCGTACCGGTAGGCACCGTTTCGTTCGTGGAGCAGAGTCTCCCGGATCGTCTCGAGAGGATGGGGCGGGTGCTACCTTGGCTTCCGAGGTTGCGCCAGCCCCAGACAGCTGCCCGCCTTCTGTCGGCGTGTGTCAGCACTCGTCCGCAGTACCTGTCGAGGACCGTCCCTCCTTCGCCCGCAGTGATCTCTAGTTTTACACGGTGGGACGCACGCCTGGGAGAGACATTTCAGCAGCTTTTAGCTTCAGGGACCTGGGCTTGTCGCGAGGACGTCCGAGAGGCCGCCCTAGACCAGATCTTCCTCCCCATCCGTCTCGGGGGTTTCGGCATTCGTCGCATGGCACGCATTGCCCCGGTGAGTTTCGTGTGCTCCTGGGTGCAGTGTGCTCCCATTCTCTGTTCTCTCCCTGCGTGTGGCGAGGCGTTTCGGCAGAGCTTCGCTTCAGGTGAGCCAGAGCAGATCGACCGGGCTCTGCAGACGGCGCTAGAGGGTCTCCCACCTGACGTTCTCTCTCTCCTTCCCCCCTGGCCCTCTTGCGCTTCTGCCTCCCCCGATTCCCTTTTTGCAGGAGCGAGCCGTCTTCTGGAGGCGCATGCCTTGGAGGCTGTGCGTGCCCGTCACGCCTCTCCCTTGCACCTTGCCCGTTTGACTTCCCTTCAGGGCGGAGGTGCAGGGGCGTGGTTGACGTCGGTGCCGTACGCTGACCCACTGCGCATCCCGGAGGCGCTGTGGCAGACGGCTTCATCTTCTCGTCTTGGTCTCCCTATCCCCCAGTTAGCCCTTGCAGGTCAGTGCTCCTGCGGACAGGCGATTGACGACATGACGGTGCCTCATCACGCGGTTCAGTGCCCACGCTACGGGGTCGCCACTACCATCCACGACACGGTGAAGTACATGCTTCGAGACTTTGCGGTCGAGGCGGGCTTCGCGGTAAAGGTGGAGGACTCTACACTGTTCACACAGTTGGAGGCGGCTCGAGCGAGACTACTGGGACAGCCAGTGGTGGGAGAGGGGACGCGGGCTGAGGGACCGGGGGAGCAGAGAGGCGAGGCGGGATCGCCGGGTGGCGGGGGACAGTGGGGACAGCACCAGCTGCGGGGTCAGGTGGAGCGAGGGATAGGTGGGCAGAGGGGACGGCAGGGGGAGCAGACGGGCCAGGACGGGGAGGGGAGACGGCACAGGCAGCAGCAGGAGAGCCAGTGGAGGCCGCGGGCCCAGGGCGCCGCGCCTCCAGGTTCGGCCTCGGGGGTGGGGCAGGGGCGGGAGCAGCAGAGAGCGGACGGAGGTACAGGAGGGGCAGCGGAATTGGGAGGGGAGGGCCAGGGAGTGAGAGAGGCAGCAGGGGATGGAGCAGGGGGGTCGGGAGGGTTGGGGGAGGGTAGAGAGGGGGAGGGGAGAGGACAGGTGGATGGAGGAGAGGAGAGGGGGAGAGAGACGATCGGAGAGGAGGCACCAAGGGACCAGACAGGGCAGCAGCCAGCGCAGCAGCAGGGACCAGTCGGACGCACAGGCCGTGTAGGCACCGCCTCCCGCATCCCAGACCTCACCTGCCGCGACGTTGGCCAGGGTCTGATGGTTCTTGTGGATGTCTCCATAGCGGATCCACAGCGGGAGGGGAACGTGCATCTGAGACGGGCGACCCCCACACAGATTGGAGTGGCAGCAGCTAGGCGGGTGCAGGAGAAGCTGCGGCACTGGGGGCCGCACTTAGAGGGGCTGCAGCCGGCACCACACTTTTACGCGTGCGTGGCGGAGACCTTTGGCCTTCTGAGTGAGCCGCTGCGTCAGTTTCTGGGGCTCTGCGCAAAGAGGATAGCACAGCGGAGGAGGGATAGAGGTGGGGGGGATGACGGATCGGCACGGATATTTGAGGCAGGACTCACTACACGCCTCTCCGTTGCACTGCAGCGCGCGCAGGCTCAATGCATGATCCAGCATGCGGTGCGGTAGTTAGGGAGATCCGACGACGGGTGGATGCCCGCACCAGTCCCACTAGGTGCGGAGCAGGATACTTGGCACCACGTCACAGGGTGCTTCGAGAGTGTGGCTGATATGCAGTATATATATGATGCATATGTGTAAAAAACAATAGTGGCTGTGCTTGAAACGCTGTGCCCGTGCGGTCGTGCGGGTTGCTGCCGTGTTTTGGTCCTTTGGTGCTTCCTCCTCCTTAGTCTCTCTCCCTCTCTCCTCTTCTCTTCCCACCTCCCTCTTTCTGTTCCCTATTTCTATCCTTCCCTTCTCTTCCTACCACCCTCTTCTTTTCCCTACCACTTCTTCTTACTCCTTCATCCTTCCTTCCTTTCCTTTCTTTCCCCCTTTTCCTACAAAATATATATACCGTCCTCATAGCGATTAGGCTATGTCGAAATGTCCTAGTCTTGGAAAACCCATTATGTTCGGCTTGTATTTGCTCTTCCCCTATTAATGAATAACTGCTCTCGCCCACCGGCGCTTAGCTTCGGAGTTCTGATGGGATCCGGCGTAGTAGCCGAGGTATGATCGTACCACCTCAACCTTGTGCCCCGACCGGTACACACCCTTTGCCCGGGTCCCCCCCTTCATAGTCACACCCCCTGCCCCCTCATGCCATCCGCTCCCCCCGCCCCTACCCTCCGCGTGCCCGCTCCCTTGCCGCCTCTTTTGACCCTCCCTGCCCCCCCTCGCCGTTTCCCACCGCCCGCCATTCGCTCCTCCCCGCCCGTGCGCTCCCCTCCTTTACCTTCTCCTCCCCCCTCCCCTCCTCTGCTGCACGCCTCTTCCTTCCCCTCGCTGACCCACTCCACTCCCTGCCCCTCCTCAATCCGCACCCTGCCCCTCGTATCTCGCCCCCCTATGCTTGGTTTCTCCCCTCCCTGCCCCTCGCCGCCTTTCCCCGCTCCCCACCTCCCCCCTCTCCCTGCCCCCCCACTCTCCCCCCCTTGTCCTTGGCTTCCTACCTCCCTGCCTCACCTTTCCCCCCTCCGTGTGCTCAGCTTCTCCCCTCCCTGCCCCTCCCTCCTCCCCGCCCTGCCCCTCATTTTCCGCCCCCCCCCCCCCCCTCCCCCCCCACGCCCGGTTTCTCCCCTCCCCGCGCCTCCCTTTCTTTCTCCGTGCCTCTCCTTTGCTCCCTCCCTGCCCCCGCCTGCCCATGCCCCTGTCTTTGGCTTCTCCCCTCCCTGCCCCACGTTTCTTCCCTCCCTGCCCCCCGTCTGCCCCTCCCTTGTTTTCCCCTCACCCATTGCTTCTCTCCTCCCTGCCCTTGATTTCCCACACCCCTGCCCTCGTTTCCTATCATCCATGCCCCTCGTTTCCCCCCTTTGTACGTTCAGCCTCTTCCCTCCCTGCCCCTCCCTTCCTCCCCCCTTGCCCTTTGCTCTCCCCTCGTTACGCTCCCTTCTCCCCATCCCTGCTGCCCTCTTACCACCATCAGCCCATCCCCACGACCAGCCCCCCTCCCACCCTTCAATCCCCCCCTCCCTCTCTCTCTCTCTCTCTCTCTCTCTCTCTCTCTCTCTCTCTCTCTCTCTCTCTCTCTCTCTCTCTTTTTCTCACACACACACACACACGCACACTCCCCTCCCCCACCCACGTACATCCTCCCATTCTGCACCTCCCTGCCCCTTTCCCACCCCCTCGCACACCCCTCACCTCCCACCTCCGTGCAACTGGTTTCCCCCCTATGGTGCCACCCTTGCATCGCTCGCCCCTCTGCTCACCCTCTGCCCGCCCCTTTTCCGTGCCCTCAGTTGGCCCAGCCCCTGCCCGTTGCTGCCCCTCCCCTTGCCCCCTCAACTCCCCTGCCCCCCGTACACCCCAAGTCCCATCCAACCGCCCCCACCCTCCCCCGGCTGCCCGTTTCCGCTCTCCACCCCCGCGACCGTGTGCGGCTTCCAACCGCCCAACGGTGGTGCGCACGGGGCGTTTCTTCGCATGGGCAAGCCTCCCCGGGGGCCCCCCACCCCGCTGGGTCGTTGTTTGGGCAAAAAAACGAAAATAAAAGAATCAGACGCGCTAAAATCGTCCTTTCTTTTTCCCGCTTGCCCCTCCCCCGGCACGTGCCGAGCAAGGGGCATAAATGGGTACAACACGAGGACTTTCCGGGAGGTCACCCAGCCCAGTACTGCTCTCGCCCACCGGCGCTCTTACCTTGACCTAGCTTACCTAGCCATGGCTGCCTACTAAGGAGCCTCCTAAACCTACTATTTCGAGTTGCTTAAGGACAAAGTGATTGTGATAGTTGTTTATGTTATAGTTATAAGCGTTTCCAACGGTTAGTTTTCCAGTTTCGACTGTCGAGTTCGACGGGACGGGGGTCGCGAGTTTCGCGCGCGACCCTCAGGAGTCTCGGAAACGGAACTTGCGGGGTGTTACGGAACCGCTCGTTCGACCCCGCCATCGCGGGAAGGCTGCGGACGCGCTGCAGCCGGTGTAACGGGAGGTGGGGCGTTGACGCGAAGTTCGCCCGCGGAGTGTAACAGCGCGCGCGACTCACAATCACAACTCCGCCAGACACGGTGTTCCCGCCCATCCCCTCTCTCGACACTCTCCCTTATCCCCCCGCTCTTTTCTGCCCACGGCTTTGCTATTCGAAGCCATTAGCTGCTACCGAGTTTCTTCCCGCGGTTTCCCTCTCTCGAAGTCACTGAGCTTAGCTTCCGCTCGTAGTTAGCATTCTTCCTTCCCTTTCAGTGCGCCATTCTTTATCGAAACCCTAATTCGAAGAGCCGCGCGTTTTCAAGCACGCTTTCTCGTCGCCTATCATGTTTAGTCACGCACTCGTTTTCCCCGCCCGTTCAATCTAGCCGCGACGTAGACGGAACCGCGCACGGGGCGCTTACCGCCAGGGAAAGGCAGCGCGGAGGGAGGCGAAATTGCTACGTTCGTAGCGATTAAACAGCCCTCCCCTTGCGCGCCTCCCGAAGCGCGTTTTCTGCCTAGAGCGTTTTAGCCGCCCACGTTTGGCACACAAGCCGCCCCACTCCCCCTTTGCTCACTCCCACCCTGCCATGCCTCGTCGCGCACTCGTGCATGCCACCCACACGTCGTAATCTTACCCCGTCGCCACCCACATATTCACCTTTCTGCTCACACCGCCCCTTTCCCCCTCACACGCGCGCTTTAGCCACCCCGCCACCTAACCTCTTTCCCTAACGGCGCTTAGCTAGCAGAGGCCGCCCTGTCTCTGGAAACCGTAGGAAATAAGAGGAAACAACTTCAAGGAAAAAAGAAAAGAAAAAGAAATTCATATAAATCGGAAAAAACCAGGAAAAATCAGAAAGGCAGCTTACACCTTGTTCTCCCAACCCTCCAGGGCCCCATCCAGTCCGCCACCCCCCCATTCTGTTTCATCATACTGCACCACACCCTCCCCTTTTGCCCACCAGCATTACCGCCCCTCTCCCCTTATCCCCCACCACGCCCCCAAGCAGGCTTTTCTCCCCCCAGCCCCCCGTCTCCCTGCCCTTAGTACCGCCGCGCTCTGCCCGTGCGTCACCCTTGCCCACTTCATACCACCTCCCCCTTCTCCCCCCCCCGGCTTCTCCCTATCATCACCCGCATGTTCCCCCACTCCCCTGTCCACAACGTCCCTCCTCCACCCCCCCCTCCTGCCTTCCCCACTCCCACTCTGCCCCCCACACCTCTACGAGCCGTACCTCCCCCTCCAGCCTCCCTTTTCCCCCCCAGCTACTTCCGCATCCAGCGTGGGCTGCACCTCTGCATCCTGCCCTGCCAGGCCCTTCGATGACCCAACTGCCGCCACCTGACACCACGCCGCCTTTCCCACCCCCATCCAATCTCTACACCCCCTGCCCCTGCTCCCTGCGCAATCCAGCCACCTACCCCAGCCTCCCTCTACCTCTCCCTAACTCCACACCGCCGTTCCCACCCCCAGCCATGGTCTACACCCCTTGCTTTTGCTCCCTGTGCTGTGCCGTCCCCAACCTCCGTCCGCCTTTCCGCGGCACCAGACCGCCTCTCCCTCCCCCAGCCAACCTCTGCACCCCCTGTTCCTGCCCCTTGTGCCTTCCAACACCCTACCCCAACCCCCCTCAGTCTCCCCCTTCTCCAACACCCTCCATATTTCCTCCCCCCTGGGGCTCGCCCATCCGCAGTTATCACCCTTCATCAATTCCCCAATTCCCTCTGTCCCCTGTTTCCCGGCCCCGCATCCTATTCTGCATTTACCACAGCGCCTCCTTTCGGTGCCCTCTCGGCCCTCCCACGTTCTCACCCCCCGCCTCCCAACCTTCTCATTACCCGCTACCAGGCTCACGCCAACTCGACTACCCACTACCCTTTGCCCCTTCCTCTCTGTTCCCCACCCTTCCTTCCCCACTTGGCTCCACCTGCCCACCCCCACCTCCCGTGGAATTCTGCCCTGCCCTCCCCACCTCTGGCCCACCACCTGTCCCCACACCCTGCTCACCCACCACTACATCACCCCCGCCCCCCCACCTCCACTACAGCCCGCCAACACTTCCCCTCTCAACCGGCCCCCAGCCCGCCCCCCCCTTGGGCCCAATCCCCTCCAACCTGTCAGGACCCCCTCTACCCTCTCTTCCACCCACTGCGCACCGCTTGCCCCACCCTTTTTCCATTTCCCCAAGCTAACCCCCCGCACCCCGGCCTCTGCCAGGGAGTTCCTTCCCCCTTTGACGCCCTCTTGAGCCAACTCCAGCAACTCACACCGCCACCGCCAGGCATGCTGCCTCTGTAACAATGCCCCAGCACCCCGCGAGTAGGGGAAAAGGCAGACCCGGGAGCCCCTCGGCGATCTGGGAGGTCCCGCAGCCGAGCCACCCCCTACTCTCCCACTCCCCCCACTTCAACAGTCAGGAAGAAACAACACACACCTGACCAAGCGAAAACACTCACACAATCTGACCCTAGGGGCCAGAAGCGTACCCTTGAAGAGGATGGAACAGAGGAACGCCAAGCCCCACTGGAGGAAATACACAAGGAGGAGCCAGCACGCTCAAAACCGCGCCCTACCCCCGTGGCCCCATCCCAGCCTACCCCCCCCCCTTCAGGTGACAGCGGGGGCGGCACCCATGCATGCCAAGTGGAGAGATCCTCCAACTCACTCGCTACCTCCCATTCGCAAACCAGATTACTTGTGAAAACACTTAATCCTACTAGCACCCCCAAGCACATAGAAGCGGGAGAGGGCAGAGCCACGGGGGAACTTGCAGCTAACACTGCACGGGAAGGGGTAAGTGAATGTGTGTGCGAAGGAGCAGCAGAGGCTGCAGAGGATGGGGCAGCAAAGGCTGCACGGGAAGGGGCAATGGGGGTTGTGGGGGAAGGGGCAGCAGAGGTTGCAGAGGAAAGGGCAGCAGAGGCTGCAAGGGAAGGGGCAGCAGCGGCTGCACGGGAAAGGGCGGCAGAGGCTGCACGGGAAGGGGCGGCAGGGACCGTGACTCTGGCCAGGCAAAGGGCAGAGGCCATGGAGACAGGTTTTGCAGGAGTAGGGGCCACGGAACCTGCTGCTGTGTCGGCTGGGGGAACCGCAGCAGAGGAGGCTATAGGGACCGCACCAGGCGAGGCCGCACAGACCACAGCAGGTGTGGCTGCAGGGATCACAACGGGTGAGGCTGCAGGAGAGACCATGGCAGGTGAAGCCGCAGGGAGCGCAGTAGGTGAGGCTGCAGGGAGCGCAGCAGGTGAGGCTGTAGGGAGCGCAGCAGGTGAGGCTGCAGAGAGCGCAGCAGGTGAGGCCACAGGGAGCGCAGCAGGCGAGGCTGCAGGGAGCGCAGCAGGCGAGGCTGCAGGGAGCGCAGCAGGCGGGGCTGCAGGGGCCGCAGCATGTGAGGCTGAAATAGCCGCAGCACGTGAGGCTGCAGAGGCCGCAGCATGTGAGGTTGAGCAGATTCTAGCAGGTGAGGCTGCACAGACTGCAGCAGGTGAGGCCGCAGGGACTGCAGCAGGTGAGGCTGCAGGGACTGCAGCACGTGAGGCTGCAAGGACCGCGGCAGGCAAGGCTGCAGGGATCGCGGCTGGTGAGGCTGAGCAGATTACGGTAGGCGAGGTTTTACAGACTGCAGCAGTCGAGGCTGCAAGGACTGCAGCAGGAGCGACAGAGGCCACAGTGGGGGCCGGTACAGGGGGAGGTGCTACGGGTGCAGCGGGGAAGGGGGTAACGGGGACTGGTGCGAGGGAGAGTGCCGCCCCGGCTGTATCAAGAGAGGGTACGGCAGGGGCTAGAGTGGGAGAAGGGACAGCAGTGGCCTCAAAGGCAGAAGGTGAGGCTGCAGCGGAAGCAGCAGGGAGGGCCATAGCACGGCCAGTAGGGGCGGCAGGGGCCGCAGCAAACGCGGGGAAACACACAGCAGGGCCGGCAGAGACTGCAAAAGGGGCTAGCAGTAAAGCGGCAGCAGGCGGGGTGGGCTCGGGGGACATAGGGGCAACAGGGGAAGGAGAGGTGAGTGTGGTCCCGACCGGGGTGGGCACTGAAGAGGGGGATGTGATAGCGATAGAGGAGGATGAGGGAGAGGATGTGATGCACATTGACGGGCCACTGGCCCAATACCTCACGCTTGACGGTGAGGCCGACCCGGCCCCCCTGCAGCCTCACGTCGAGGTTCCCCCTCTACCCCCCATGCCCGTCCCCATGCTAGCAGAAGGACCGATGGAGGGGCTGGGGGAGACCTTGAGGACAGAGCCGCGCGAGGGAGCCCCCATCCTCACCTCCCGTCCTCCAGCCCACCCACCCCCAGGAGCACCACTTCCCCACCCCCACCCTCAGGTCCCGGTAGTATCCAGGGGGGCAGCCAAGGCCCTGGCCTTCTTGGCGGAGCCGTGCTCCCCGACCCCCACGTTGCTCCATGGCCAGCCCCCCTCTCCGTCCCCAACGCCTGACCCCACGGTTGCAGGCGGTCCACCGGGAGAGCACGTGGGTGCGACAAGAGCAGAGTCACCCGAGGGCACCCCTTCTCTCACCTCTCACCCCTCCCCGCCCCTTCCCTCACTCCTTCCCTCACCCCCAAGGGCAGCACACCTCTGCCCCCACCCTCAGGGGCTCCTTAGAGCACCACGTGGAGCAGCCAGGGCTCTGGCCTTCCTAGAGGAGCCATGCTCCCCGACTCCTACCAACACCCAGCCACCCCCTACCGGCCCACTACCCCCCCCTCCACCAGGCACCCCCCCACCCGGTAGTACACACATCTCGGAGGTTGAAGCATCTCTGCGGCCAAATCCCTCTCCCACACGCTACAGGCACCCAAACCACCCGAGTCGCCGCACAGCCCCAACACGCCCACCCAACAGGCTGCCCCCCTCACACCACCCCCCCCAGGCAGCCGAGACCCACCCGCAAGGGCTTGCGCCCCAGGCTCATGGGAGCGGCGGCACCCGGGTAGAGGGGCCCACAGGAGAGGCCACCACAGAGCCCACACAAATCTCTCTCCCCCCACCGCTTGTACCTCGCTCTAACCTCCATACTGGCCCAGCCCCTCGACCCCCACCTCCAACCCCCTCTCCCAGCCGGGTTCCCCACGAGTGGCCCCGTTGGGCAGCCATCACCCCCCACACACAGCCTGCCCGATCTGTTCCCACGGAGGGGGATGTTTCGAGGAGAGAGGGGATGCACACAGAGCACCCCCCGCCTGGCGAACCACCCATCCTCCCTCCACCCACCCCTTTGGCCCCACAGCCCCCCCTTCCTTCACAAACAGGCGCGGACAACCAGGTTGGCCGCCGGCGGAAGAACAGGGGCAGAGGAGGCAGAGGGTCAGCCCACGTACTCCCCCCTCCCTCCCTCCCCCACCAAGAGCCCCTCCCCACCCCACATCCCGTTGAACCCTTACCAGGCCCTACCTCTACAGCCCGACCACCAAACCTACACTCCCGCCCCGCTCCTGCACCTCCACAGGGCCATGGGAGCGGACCAGCCCACTCACCCCCATTCTGCCCCTCCCGTGCTGTGTCCCCCTCCCAGGTGGCGGCGGCCGCGATCGTTACTGGGATGGAGGCCGTCGGGTTGAGGGATGCGCCCATGGAAGATGCCACCGACTCCCCCTCCCATCCCTCCCACCCCTTCCATGTCGACGACCCCCTACCGCAACCCATGGTGATTGGGGAGGGCCAAGGGGGCCTTCTAGGGCAGGGTCCACACCCGAGCTCCGCTCAGCCAGCACGCCCCACTCCACCCTCTACCCTGCCAGCCCTCCTACTCTCACCTACAGGCAGGCAGGTCTTCGAGACCCCAGAGGAGGTGAGGGCTGGCATTTCAGATTTGCTGGCGATACACCGCCCGAGCAGCTCTCCGGCTGCCCCCACCCTTCCAGTCCCACAGGACCGGACCCGGACGTATGCGGAGGTCACCCGGTCTGTCCCTTCTTTTATCCCCCCCGCCACTCAGCCAGGCGCGTCACTCCCGACCCCAATGGAGACGGACCGGTTCTGAGGCCGTGTCACGCGCACCTAGATGGGGTGGCGCCTCCCCCCGTTCAGCCCGTGGCGCAGGAGGTCACCAGCAGTAGGGATGAGGCATCCGCCCCTACCGAGACCCCTCCGCCTGGGGTAGCAGAGCCGTCACTTGAACCGCACCCCGCCGAGGGGCAGGAGCACACCACGGCACACACTTCAGGCTCACCTCCACGTCCCCCCTCCCCAGCTTCGACACCGGTACCGGCACGAGGCCCGGCCCTATCCTGTGCGACACCACCTCTATCTTCGCTGACACCCCCCCCGCACGGGGCTGGTGAGTCGTCTCCTCCCCTCATCCCAGGCGATCCTCTCGGAGCTCAGGCCGCCCACGGGGTCCCCTCTACAGCCAGTTCCGACGCCACGGCCCCGATTGACCCCGCCGACACGGCGACATCACCCGACCAGGTCGTGAGTTGCCCCACCTGCAGGAGCTCTCTCGCGAACCGACGCGCGCTAAAGCACCACATTCCCTTCTGCCATCCTGCGGACGCGGCTCGCAGGGCGCGGGCTGCCCATGATACCGCCTTGATCATCCCTTCCCTCTCACAGCCCCGTGCGACCGGGATACAGTTCACCGACGCACAGTGGCAGACGCTCGACTCGGTGGACTGGACAGAGTACTTCTCGCCCGAGCGTATCCATGCACGCCCTCTCCGACGTGTCCCGGAGAGGGTCCGAGGAGGATATCTCGACGTCCTCAGTGCGATCCTAGTCCGCATTGCCCAGGACCCGGAGGCTGCTGGCCCTACCTTCCTCCTCGCTGCAGCGCCGACTCTTTTCCTTGTTCCAGCGACGCCACCCGACCGCTCGCACGCGGCTGCCATTGCAACGCGCATCTCCCGCTTTGGTCGAGGTGAGTGAGCTGAGCTAGTCTCAGATGCACTAGGCCGTCGCACACCCCTTCCTCGGCGCACAGGTCACCGGTCACGCACCGCCACCGATCCCTCTACAGCAGATGAGCGCTGCATTGCACGTTGCCTTCGTCTGGCAGCGTGCAATGAGACCTCACGGGCGTGCGCGGCTCTCGAGTCCGCGGAGGCAGCCCCAGATACACAGGGGACGATACAGCGCCTGCAGTCGAAGCACCCCAACGCGGAGAGGCCGACCCCAGCTTGGCAGTCTGGCTTCCAGGGGTCCCCTCTCGTGCTCTCGGTGGATCACTTACGCCGCGCGATTTTCACAGCTCCGCGGGGCTCTTCGGGAGGACCGTCCGGTTGGGTCGCTGAGCACCTGCGAGACACTTTCCTAGCTTTCCCTCAGAGTCTCCATTTCCTCCTGGCCGTGTTCCAGCAGTGGCTCCGAGGCCGTTGCGCTCCAGCTCCGCGCTCCTTGCTAGCGTCTTCCACCCTCGTGGCTCTGGCGAAGTCGAACATGGATGTTCGGCCGATTGCCATCGGCGAGGTTTTGGTCCGCATTCTTTCTCGTGCAGTCTATCTCCAGCTACGTGACCAGATGGCGAGGGTCTTCTTGGCGTCACAGCAGTTTGGGGTGGGGGTTATGTGCGGGACAGAGGTCGTAGCTGTTAGGTGAGGTCTGGGATGCGGGAGGCGGTGCCTACACGGCCTGTGCGTCCGACTGGTCCCTGCTGTTGCGCTGGCTGCTGCCCTGTCTGGTCCCGTGGTGCCTCCTCTCCGATCGTCTCTCTCCTCCTCTCCTCTCCTCCATCCACCTGTCCTCTCCCCTCCCCCTCTCTACCCTCCCCCAACCCTCCCGACCCCCCTGCTCCATCCCCTGCTGCCTCTCTCACTCCTTGGGCCTCCCCTCCCAATGCCGCTGCCCCTCCTGTACCTCCGTCCGCTCTCTGCTGCTCCCGCCCCTGCCCCACCTCCGAGGCCGAACCTGGAGGCGCGGCGCCCTGGGCCCGCGGCCTCCCCTGGCTCTCCTGCTGCTGCCTGTGCCGTCTCCCCTCCCCGTCCTGGCCCGTCTGCTCCCCCTGCCGTCCCCTCCGCCCACCTATCCCTCGCTCCACCTGACCCCGCAGCTGGTGCTGTCCCCACTGTCCCCCGCCACCCGGCTGTCCCGCCTCGCCTCTCTGCTCCCCCGGTCCCTCAGCCCGCGTCCCCTCTCCCACCACTGGCTGTCCCAGTAGTCTCGCTCGAGCCGCCTCCAACTGTGTGAACAGCGTAGAGTCCTCCACCTTTACCGCGAAGCCCGCCTCGACCGCAAAGTCTCGAAGCATGTACTTCACCGTGTCGTGGATGGTAGTGGCGACCCCGTAGCGCGGGCACCGAACCACGTGATGAGGCACCGTCATGTCGTCAATCGCCTGTCCGCAGGAGCACTGACCTGCAAGGGCTAACTGGGGGATAGGGAGACCAAGACGAGAAGATGAAGCCGCCTGCCACAGCGCCTCCGGGATGCACAGTGGGTCAGCGTACGGCACCGACGTCAACCACGCCCGTGCACCTCCGCCCTGAAGGGAAGTCAAACGGGCAAGGTGCAAGGGAGAGGCGTGACGGGCACGCACGGCCTCCAAGGCATGCGCCTCCAGAAGACGGCTCGCTCCTGCAAAAAGGGAATCGGGGGAGGCAGAAGCGCAGGAGGGCCAGGGGGGAAGGAGAGAGAGAACGTCAGGTGGGAGACCCTCTAGCGCCGTCTGCAGAGCCCGGTCGATCTGCTCTGGCTCACCTGAAGCGAAGCTCTGCCGAAACGCCTTGCCACACGCAGGGAGAGAACAGAGAATGGGAGCACACTGCACCCAGGAGCACACGAAACTCACCGGGGCAATGCGTGCCATGCAACGAATGCCGAAACCCCCGAGACGGATGGGGAGGAAGATCTGGTCTAGGGCGGCCTCTCGGACGTCCTCGCGACAAGCCCAGGTCCCTGAAGCTAAAAGCTGCTGAAATGTCTCTCCCAGGCGTGCGTCCCACCGTGTAAAACTAGAGATCACTGCGGGCGAAGGAGGGACGGTCCTCGACAGGTACTGCGGACGAGTGCTGACACACGCCGACAGAAGGCGGGCAGCTGTCTGGGGCTGGCGCAACCTCGGAAGCCTCGGTCCTCCAGGGTTTGGAGTGGCAGCAGCTAGGCGGGTGCAGGAGAAGCTGCGGCACTGGGGGCCGCACTTAGAGGGGCTGCAGCCGGCACCACACTTTTACGCGTGCGTGGCGGAGACCTTTGGCCTTCTGAGTGAGCCGCTGCGTCAGTTTCTGGGGCTCTGCGCAAAGAGGATAGCACAGCGGAGGAGGGATAGAGGTGGGGGGGATGACGGATCGGCACGGATATTTGAGGCAGGACTCACTACACGCCTCTCCGTTGCACTGCAGCGCGCGCAGGCTCAATGCATGATCCAGCATGCGGTGCGGCAGTTAGGGAGATCCGACGACGGGTGGATGCCCGCACCAGTCCCACTGGGTGCAGGGCAGGGTACTTGGCACCACGTCACAGGGTGCTTCGAGAGTGTGGCTGATATGCAGTATATATATGATGCATATGTGTAAAAAACAATAGTGGCCGTGCTTGAAACGCTGTGCCCGTGCGGTCGTGCGGGTTGCTGCCGTGTTTTGGTCCTTTGGTGCTTCCTCCTCCTTAGTCTCTCTCCCTCTCTCCTCTTCTCTTCCCACCTCCCTCTTTCTGTTCCCTTCTTCTATCCTTCCCTTCTCTTCCTACCACCCTCTTCTTTTCCCTACCACTTCTTCTTACTCCTTCATCCTTCCTTCCTTTCCTTTCTTTCCCCCTTTTCCTACAAAATATATATACCGTCCTCATAGCGATTAGGCTATGTCGAAATTTCCTAGTCTTGGAAAAACCATTATATTCGGCTTGTATTTGCTCTTCCCCTATTAATGAATAACTGCTCTCGCCCACCGGCGCTTAGCTTCGGAGTTCTGATGGGATCCGGCGTAGTAGCCGAGGTATGATCGTACCACGTCAACCTCGTGCCCCGACCGCTACACACCCCTTGCCCGGGTCCCCCCCTTCATAGTCACACCCCCTGCCCCCTCATGCCATCCGCTCCCCCCGCCCCTACCCTCCGCGTGCCCGCTCCCTTGCCGCCTCTTTTGACCCTCCCTGCCCCCCCTCGCCGTTTCCCACCGCCCGCCATTCGCTCCTCCCCGCCCGTGCGCTCCCCTCCTTTACCTTCTCCTCCCCCCTCCCCTCCTCTGCTGCACGCCTCTTCCTTCCCCTCGCCGACCCACTCCACTCCCTGCCCCTCCTCAATCCGCACCCTGCCCCTCGTATCTCGCCCCCCTATGCTTGGTTTCTCCCCTCCCTGCCCCTCGCCGCCTTTCCCCGCTCCCCACCTCCCCCCTCTCCCTGCCCCCCCACTCTCCCCCCCCTTGTCCTTGGCTTCCTACCTCCCTGCCTCACCTTTCCCCCCTCCGTGTGCTCAGCTTCTCCCCTCCCTGCCCCTCCCTCCTCCCCGCCCTGCCCCTCATTTCCCCCCCCCCCCCCCCCCCCCCCCCACGCCCGGTTTCTCCCCTCCCCGCGCCTCCCTTTCTTTCTCCGTGCCTCTCCTTTGCTCCCTCCCTGCCCCCGCCTGCCCATGCCCCTGTCTTTGGCTTCTCCCCTCCCTGCCCCACGTTTCTTCCCTCCCTGCCCCCCGTCTGCCCCTCCCTTGTTTTCCCCTCACCCATTGCTTCTCTCCTCCCTGCCCTTGATTTCCCACACCCCTGCCCTCGTTTCCTATCATCCATGCCCCTCGTTTCCCCCCTTTGTACGTTCAGCCTCTTCCCTCCCTGCCCCTCCCTTCCTCCCCCCCTGCCCTTTGCTCTCCCCTCGTTACGCTCCCTTCTCCCCATCCCTGCAGGGAGGGCAGACGGGCCAGGACGTGGAGGGGGGACAGCAGGGGCAGCAGTAGGAGAGCCAGCGGAGGCCGCGGGCCCAGGGCGCCGCGCCTCCAGGTTTGGGCTCAAGGGTGGGGCAGGGGCGAGAGCAGCAGAGAGCAGAGTTACAGAAGGAAGCGGGATCGGGAGGGGAGGACCAGGGAGTGAGAGAGGCAGCAAGGGATCGAGCAGGGGGGTTGGGAGGGTTGGAGGAGGGTAGAGAGGGGTAGGGGAGGGGACAGGTGGGTGGACGAGAGGACAGGGGGAGAGAGACGATCGGAGAGGAGGCACCAAGGGACCAAGCAGGGCAGCAGCTAGCGCAGCTGCTAGGACCAGTCAGACGCACATGTCGTACAGGCACCTCCTCCCGCATCCCAGACCTCACCTGCCGCGATGTTGGGCAGACGCTGATGGTTCTTGTGGATGTCTCCATAGTGGATCCACAGTGGGAGGGGAATGTGCAGCTGAGACAGGCGATCCCCACACAGATTGGAGTGGCAGCAGCTAGGCGGGTGCAAGAGAAGCTACGTCACTGGGGGCCGCACTTATAGGGGTTGCAGCCGGCACCACACTTCTACGCGTGCGTGGCTTAGACCTTTGGCCTCTGAGCGAGCTGCTGCATCAATTTCTAGGGCTCTGTGCAGAGAGGATAGCACAGCGGAGGAGGGATCAGGGAAGAGGGGATGACGGATCGTATGGTTTTTTTTTTTTTGTACCTACCCTGATTTTCAAGTGTTCAGCTTTTTGTGGGACTGCTTTTTCTGCCTTTTCCTACCAGGTGACTTTGAACTTTCATGATTTTTTTTTTTTAAGAACACAGATTCCACTACGTTGTAACGTATCTGATACCGATTCCTAGACGTTATGAGTGTGGTTGCCTGGAAGTACAAGGAATCTCAGATTCCCCCTGTGTTAGCACCGCTTAGTGGTGACTACCATACAACTTTGCCCCGTGTTATTCACTTTGAGGGCTGCTTTGTTGGCACGCCGATTCCGATCATTGGCCACTTTTGCAGCATCATATGTGCAGACCAATGGGAATGTTGCAACACAGCGATGCCGGCTGGCTGCGATACAAGATCTCTGTCCCATTGCTTGCAACTATGGTGCGTTTTATCTTTGTGGTGCTGCCATGGCAAGCACAGATGCTCTCGTGACGGGTTGAATCTACACCGCCCAGCCGTGCTAATGTACCTGCCATCCAAGCTCTCATTCTGCTCCATCCTTTCCATCTGCTTGGGGTTTCCTCCCTTTCCCACCTTGTGTACCAAGAGGAAGTCAGCTGTGTCGATAGTTATGCCCTTGAAGTGCTATTTAATCACTTTGAATAATTACCAACAGCCTTTGCAAATAGGGAACACTGATGCATCTGACTTTTCTAAAGTAACACTGAACTTTCAGGCTTTTTTTTTTGGGAACATTGTCTATCACGGATTCTACACAGAGGGATTCGGATACACTTACGTGCCTAAAAGTGAACCTGAGGGCCTGACGGCCTCATCACCAAAAAAAAATAAGTGCGAGTTTTTTAAGCACGAGTTGGAGTTTTTTGGGCACGTCGTTTCCTGCGACGGCATTAAAGAAGACCTGACAAAGATCAAGACCATTCTAGAGTGGAAGTCATCGATTAATGTTACACAACTTCAGAAATTTATGGGGTTCGTGAATTATGTCCGGCGGTTTATTCCGAATATGTTGGGGATCGATTTTCTGCACAAGGACAGGGATTTTGTGTGTGGGGGGGGGGGGGGAAGCTGAGGCGACTTTTTTGGAGTTCAAGGATTTTCTGGTTTCCCCTCTGGTTTAGCGCATTGCCGACCCATTGAAGTCGTTTGAAGTCGTCACCGACGCCTCATATTCCATCATCGGAGTTGTTCTCCATGATTTCTGGACCGGGCTATAGCCGATAGCCTACAAGTCACGCAAGCTGCAGTCAGCTGAGCCCAACTACTGGATACATGGCTAGGAGATGATCGCCATCATACACGCGTTCAAACTGTGGCACTGCTACTTGGAGGGCACGAACATCACTGTTCACACATACCACAAGTTTCTACAGAGTACTAGCGTTCTCAGCCCAACCTCAACCCGCGACAGATTCGGTTGCTGGACTACACGGAGAGCCACTTCACCTACAAGAAAGTGGCAAAAAACATTGTCGATGCACTTACCCAACAGTGCGCATCGATGCCCTCACCTCCTCATTTAGGAGGTCTACGATTCTAACATCTCCAGACTTTTCAAGGTTGACAGAACCCAAATGATGTTGCACCGTCAATATTATTGGCCTGATTTTGCTAACGACGTGTAGCGATATATGTCTCATGCAGGGTGTCGCAAGCCTTGAAATCGACACGTCAGCAGCCAGCTAGATTGCTGCAACCTCTCGAGCCACCCGAACGACCGTGTCAACAGGTAACGATTAATTTTGTCACGGGGCTGTCACCTGGACCGTCGGGCAAAGACGCTGTTCTCGTCGTCGTCGATCGCCTCACAAAAATGGCGCATTTTGCACCGTATCATACAACAATCATAGCTAAATAAAGTGTGCGCCTCTTCATCTCGACCATCGTGCGACTGCACAGAATCCCGTCTGCGATCATCAGCGATAGGGATCCGAAGTTCATATCGATTTTTTGGAAGGAAACGTGGGAGCTACTAAGCTACAGTTCTTGTCAGCATATCACCCGCAAACGGACGGCTAGACTGAGCGAACATATCATACAATGGAGCCCAGCAGATCAGGACAAACTGCCCCGATCCCGCTCGCTGGGGAACTTCGATCACCATGCTGGAGTTCGCGTTCAACAATGCCCCGTACACCATGACTAATCAGTCTGCATTCTTTCTGAATCACGGGATGGACCTGGTAGTGCCTACAATGACTACACTAGACAACCCGGTCCCGAGGTCACAAACAGTTGTGACGAAACTACAGGAGATTCGCAAGAAGGCAGCCGACGCAATTTGCAAGGCAAATACCACTGCCCGCAAATACACCGACCTTCTGCGCCGGAAAATCATTATGATAGCTGGGCAACCAAATCTGCTTGACCAGAAGATCTCCGGCTGCCTGGCTCGAACAAGCTACGGCCACGATTTTGTGGCCCCTTCAAAAATATCGAGATGGTGACACCTGTCACTGTGAAACCGCTGCTACCTGATGTGTGGCGTATCCACGATGCCTTCCATGTCAACCTTTTTCGCAAGTTCGTGCTTGCCACGACAAACATCACGCACCAGAGCGCTGCCCGGACAGCTCGACTAATCGCAGAACAAACACTTGATCCGTCCAAAATCTTGGTGCATCGAATCCGACTCGACGCATCTGAACGCCTCGTGGACTTCTTCGTCCATTGGACTGACCTCACTAGTGAAGATGACACTTGAGTGTCATCCGCCTTGCTTGATGCATCCCCACTTGTTGGTGATTATCTCGCCCGCAAACAAGCTACTGATATTGACCATTTTTCTTCAAAGAGGGGGGGGGGGGGGGGGGGGGGGTAGTGTAAAGATTTTCCCTGAAGTCAATATCGGGCTTGACTGCTACGCGTACAACCACGAATTCAGACTTCTCGCACTTCGCACGTTCGGCCGACATCCACGATGCCGAAACTCCTCGCGTCGCCTTCGGTCCCATGATCGCCAAACCTGCACCCAACCTCTTTTCTCGACGTTCCCTCCTAGCAGGACCTCAGATTCGTTTTGGCCTAGGCTGAAAAATTACAGTTGGTACAAAACGTTTTGCTGAAAATCAGACAAATCAGCCATTTTATGACATTTTACACTACAAATTCAATAAAACTTCCTGTTTCTTTTCAACAAATTGCTGAGGAATCTCGACATTTTTACCTAACTCAACCTTTTCTTGCTGACTTCTAAGGCCCTGCCCCTTAGCTAGAGTAATCACTATAATAACGTGTGCCTTCATTGTATTGTCAATTGATTGAGTCGCATCTTCGTTATTTGTTTTTCCGCGCACTCTTTTTTACAACTCATAACAACAATGGTTGTGAGTTTCACGCGAGACCCTCTGAGTCTCTCAGAATTGGCACTTACGCGGTGAAATGGGACTAGAATTTTGACCCAGCCACTGTGGGGACGTTGCGGACGGGCTACAGCGTGTGTAACGGGAGGAGTGGCATTTAGCACGAAGTTCACAGGGACGAGTAACAGCGCACGCGGACCAAACACGCTGTACTTGCCCTCCCCCCCTCTCTCGACTCCCATTCCCCTAGTTCTAATTGTTGAATTAATGAGGTCGCTAGAGTAGCGGAAATACTTTAGGAAGTTAACGACGTCCCTACGGCGGGGCTATGGTGACCCAAAGGTAGCTCTACTGGCTTGTAACATGGTGCCAAAGCGGCGACCGAGGGTAGGCCTGACATAAGATTGAGAATTGTGTAATAAGAACAATGCAATACATTCGGTTATATAGGAATCATAGCAGGCAGGTAGTTGTTAGAAAGTGAAAGCGAGAAAGATGAAACATATATGGGCTACCCCACTACATGTCAAACATATACATTTGTTATAGTTTTGGGTAGGCTGTAGTGGGGTAGATACAGTGGGGTACAACCCTTTAGGTTTCCTTCTCTACCAAAACGTCTCAATAGTCAAACACATTCCTGACTAGTCTCTGAGATGTTATCTAGAGCAGTAGGTCTTTAGGACCTAAGATTAGGGCCCACCTGTTACCGCGTTACCTCACCTACGGCCTTGCATGCCTGCCTGCCTGCCTGCCTGCCTTGCCTGCTGCCCGCGCGCGCCTTGGCTGCACGCGCGAGTATCTTTTTTTTTTGTGCGCGCTACTGCTGCAGCCGCCTCCGCTGCCCGCTGCAGCGCCGCGCGCCGCGCTTGCAGCCTGCGTTGAGCCCCTGTCACCTGCGCACCGCTCGCGCAGCCCACGATGAGCCCGCGCAGCCCGCCGCCGCGTGCAGCCCGCGGCCGCGTGCAGCCCGCCGCCGCGCGCAACCCGCTTAGGCCCCGCGCGCTGCGTCCGTCGCCAGCGCGGCCCGCTGCTGCCCTGTGCGCG